AGTGAGACAAATTAAAAATTTACATATTTACATATCTCTACCTTCACAAGCAGTAATGATGTATTAATTGATTTGCATATAAATATACTGGATTGCGAAAAACACTTTCTATAGTTATCATCCTAACGATTTCCAGAAGAGCCTCCATCTTGTACTACTTAGGTACACAATATCTGTTTAAGTATGTTAACTAGATTAACATACATAAACATACATCTAGTTAACATACTTAAACAGATATCGACACCTCCTAAACTTAACTGTTTTGGACTTCAAATCTTTATACCTAGGTACACATTAACCAAAATGCTATTTTATCTTTATCACTTGCCGTCTGCTGTATGTTGTTCTTGCTTTATGTACAGAAGTAACTTGGATGTCACTCACTAATGACTGAGTGGATAAAACCGCTGAACGCAGGCACGAACCCAAATGCTATTTGGAGTTTTTCAGGTTTTATTCGCAGTTGTTACACTTAAATAGGGGACAGTTTCCCGTAAGAGTTATTTTCCTCAGCAGATTTCCCACATATCACGTTGCCATAATCAAATAAACATAAACTTGGATGTTAGATTGTATTGATGCAGTTTTAAAATAAAATTACTATCTTTTTCTATGATAAAAGAAGCTTTCTTTTTGTTGCATAAAGAATAGACATCTAATTATGCTGATTTAAATATAAAATTTTCTTGAGTGATATTGTTATTCGACTTTTTTAATCAATACCAAACAATGTTAGAATGTTAATGTTGCTTTTATGTATGTATGCACAATATATGAGTACTCAAGAATAACAAACCTTAAGGTTGAATAATCTGATGTGTTTACAAGGGGTTTGTATTATGTGTATAGTTTTTGGGTCATTTTTGACCCCTCCCTCCCCTGTTGCATGTAATAATGTAATTTTTACAAACCTTTTTCCTTTAATTATGTGTTCAATATTTTATAGTCCTCTAATATTGAAAAAAATTACTTCAAAAAGTTTTCTGCATATATTTTGTAAATTACAGTTTGTTTAAATGAAGGTGAAGCACTTTGCACCAATAAAATAATGAAGAAATGCAACTGTCTTTTAATGTTATGCTAATTTTAATTAACCAAAATTCACATAAGTATTCATATAGTACGATATATATTTATATGTTACTGTGAAAGACCAAAATTAGAGAATTTCGATATCCTCTGGTGAATGTTGACACATACCAAATATGTTGGTGAAAGACCTGAATATTTGATTATATTATTATACATTCGAACAATCACCATGTATGTCGACAAGCACAGATAAGCTTTGGTGGAGGTCAAAGAAATTGTTAATACTTTTGAAGAAAATTTGAGCAGTGACCATAATGAATACCATATTCCAAAGGAAAATATTGAAGAGGAGCTGCAACCCACCATGTCTTCATATCAAGCCATGACTGAACATCACAAAGTTATTTCTATAAAAAAGAAGAGAATCATCTACTGCAAGCAACGAACATGTTACAAACCTCAAAGAAGAAAATTTCCTTCTGCTCAAATTGGTGATATACCGTACGAATACAAGTCCCTGATGTCGACCGTGGCTGTACAGATGCCCGAAATGTGTTAGCTGTTGTTGTTGGAATACAAGACTCTGACTTTTATCAATTAGCAAACAAAAATGGTTCCCTCAAGCAGCTTTATACCTGTAATCAATTCATAATTTGTAAAGAAAAATTACTTTCCATAGATGGGATTTCTCCTCAAGAAATATTGCTGAGAGAAGCAGCTGCAGCTAATTCGAAAAGTGGATGGCAAGGCTATACACGCTGTCGTTACAAAAAGAAGTGTTCCACGAATAAATGCAGTTGTAAAAGCAAGGGACTCTTGTGTAATTCAAAGTGCCATAATAGTTTAAGTTGTTGCAATAAATAAGATTGTATAACTTTACTCACATAATTTATGTGTAAGTTTATTATTGTATTATTTTCTTTAATGATTTAGAATGTACTGTTCGTTTTAGGTTCAATAGTTTATTTACATGTGCTGTTACTTAAGCTTTCTCCTATTTTGACATATTAAAAAGTTGCATTTTTGTCTTAACATAATAAAAATATTCTTATTCGTTTTTATTTGCCAGTGTAAATGAGAAATAATGATATTTAGCAAATATTTCATACATACACAAAACAACTGTGAATGCTGATATTCACCGGAGAATGTTGACATTCGCCAGATATCGGTCATTCACAGTAACATATATATCAAATGCCTTTTGTCTGTATTGTAGATAATTATAAACATTTGGTTAAACATAACAAAGAACAATTTACTTTCAACAATGTATTACTGTCTTGGTTATGTCTGTACACAAAAGATTTTGAATCTTTTGATTAATTTGTTAGTAAAATGCTAAGACAGTTGCATTTCTTTATCTTTATTATTTTATGATAGTTTGTTCACATGAATATAGTAAGTAGGACTATAAGAAATTCTTATGTCAGTAATACCACTAAAAAGTCCACATAATAAATGTCTAGACCCCTCCCTCATTATTTACAATGATAATCTTTTTACAACCCTCCTCCCTCTTAAATTGTGCAAATAATTAATTTACAGTCCAACTCAAAACAAGAATTGTCATCATCATGTAATCAAGTTAATGATGACTTGACAAAACTCAGCTTTCCTTTCAAATCACATACTTTCCAAAGTCTATAACTTTCATTTCTTGTATTTAAAAATAGAAAGAATATTTTTGTTAATATAATAAAACAAAATATTAAGCAATTGCTTTTATTGTAATTGAATTTATAGTTTATAATCTGTATTTTGATTTTACTTTTTAAAACTTACTTCTTTTGTAGAGAAATATATCATATTTGAAGTTTTAGATAGCTCAATATTAATAGTAGTATATGTAATACATTCTAAAATACATTATTTTCTTGCAAATTGCTCTATAATTATTCTCTTTTAGTAGTAATTTTAATATTTTCACATAACAGTAATCAAGATATTCATAATTATTCTGATTCTTTTGTAATAAAAACTATAACACTGTCTTTTACTATGACTTTATTTATATGAGAAATTACAACTGTAGAAGGGAGAAAAAAGTTATATTGAATATGATTAATGCATTTATAATCCTTATAAGATTAATCTTGTGAAACAAATGTATTTTGTCAATATTAATCTTACTGCAAATTATGGATATAATTAAGGTTTTCAACAACCAATTAAAGAAAATTGATATGTTTTCTTGATAGCAATTTAGAAATATATACAAGATAATCAAAGTATATTTTTCATTGTGTCAAATAAGTTAAAAGGTAATTGCCAAATGATAGATTTGAATTGCTGACCTCAGTTCAAATGTAGAAGTGGCTTTTAACATCATTGCTTTTTCCATGTTGATATCTACATTTGTTCAACAGGTTTTTCCTGTATTTTGTATTATTTAGATGTTTTTACAAACCAATATCTACTGTACATTTTAAATTTATACATAAGAAACAATTAAAACTAGAAATAGATACTGATAATATTTTAAAGTTAGAGTTAGAATATTATTATATTTTCCAATTTTGATATTTCCAAATTAGAGATGTACTAGTACTGGGTAATTAATATTTATATACAAGCTTTTATTTGGCTGCTGCAGAACTAGTGGACACCTGGAGATTACTAAAATATTATCATGTAAAGCATTTACTAGCATTAAATAACTGTGCATGAACCATCATTCTAGAATGTGGAGCCAATATGCAATGGCATCTTTTTCCAAATGTGGCAGAATGGCATCATCACAATTGTCAACTTATGACTGTGCTCATATTGCAGCTTGTATGTATTGTAGTTAACAATAACAGTACAGTTATAGTGTTGGTGGTGGAAGCCAGACATTAAATTACCATACAAGCAAGAGATTGTATGCTAACCTGATGTCAACCAGGTCAGTGAATCAACAGAATGGAGCAACTGACCTAGATCATTTTGAATGCCAAAGTTAAAGGAAATGTTTGTAGATATGTTGCAGAAAAACTAACAAATTGATACATTAATGTAAACATGAGACAGATATGTTATTTTCCTGTGTAAAGACTTAAAGTAATAAGCTGGTATCCTTGGGGGCTGCATTATGCTCAAAGCCTTCTGTGCAAGGACTGCAATAGATGAATGGAATTTTCAGAATTCAGGATTGAAGATACCCGTATATTCTACAAAGAATCATAGAATCATTTAGTATGATGGAGCCTTGTTTCATGTGGGAGGATTTGTAAACTGCATAGCTTTAATTATTGGGTGTCCAATGATAAAGATCGACAATTTGTTATTGAAAAGTTGAAGTCATGCATCAATGTGCATATGATGAGGAATTAGGGATTCCATTCTACTTTGTATCTAGGCCTACATCAGCAGAAAAACAATGATTATAGAGTGTTATATAGAGTATTACTTGAACATGTTAAAAATATCCTATTGTAAACACTTGGGAGAACAAAGTACAGCCTACATTTAGTCCACATTACAGTATTTTATATCTATATGTTTACTTAGCCAAGTTATGGCCAGATGAATATGCCATTATCATTTTACTAATTTATATTAAAAATGTTTGTTTTTAAAACATTAAAATCTACATTAACAAAATTGTACTAAAGAAAATATAGGTAGCCCTTGGTTTACGCCGCAGTTCCGTTCCTACAAAAGCCGCCGCAAATCGAATCAGCGTAAAACGAACCCATATTTACACTGAGGTATAGGGTTAGGTTCTACATAAGTGAAAAATAAGCTAATAATTTTGTTTATTAATACNTGTATTTGTAAAATCTAAGTGACTCGTACAACATGGAATTCATATAACACGGAATTATCTACAGTGTTATAGGAGTGTCTACTGTATTGTTTTCTTTTTTCAAATAAATTTTGTACTACAAATCTCTAGAAAATTCAAGAAACTTTTGTATCAACCCTGTATCTATTACTTTTATAAATGAAATAATAGTAAATAATTTTTTTTCAACAGAATTCAATTATTCATCTGCCCGCCGATATGGTGAGTTACTATTTTTTATCTCAGTTATTCGTAGATCGACATTATATTGCTGCATACATTAATGTATATTTTTCTCTTCTCGGTGTTCCTCTCCATAATCGATACAGTTGTAAGTGCAGTCTCCATTGTTAATTCTAAACCTTTAGAACGATTATATAATGAAAATTTGTTAAATTATCTTTATTTAGATGTCGGCAAAAAGGGAGCTTTTTCGCCAACAGTTATCTCCTGATTTGTTAGCCCACAGGAAGAAAAATGATGCTGGAGCCGTGAGTCCAACACCCAAAGAAATGGACGAAGATTCTGATTACGTTGGCTTTTCCAATTTGACAAATGAGATTTATCGGCTGTCGGTCAGACGAGGATTTCACTTCACTTTAATGCTTGTCGGTATGTAACTTTTTATTCTATAAATGTACTGAAAGTGTACAAAATTATATATATTTCCTCTATTTTCATCTACGCACGCTTCAATAGGAGAAGCGGGATTGGGAAAATCTACATTCCTGAACAATCTCTTCCTCTCCAATATTTACTCCGACGAATATCCGAGTCCTTCCGAAAGAATCAAACCAACAGTGCAGGTCAGAAACAATATTTTAATGTACAATTAATATTGATTTAACTCATAACATGCAATTTCAGATCGAGACGACGAAGCTGCAGCTGGAAGAAAATGGCGTCAAGTTAAATCTAACGGTGGTGGATGTACCCGGATTCGGGGATTCTTTAAACAATACTGGATGGTAAATTTGTTAACAGTGCGAATGAATTGAATTTAAAATATTTAAATAAAATGATTTTCAGTTGGCGTCCAATAACTAATTTCATCAATGAGAGATTCGACCAATATTTAGAAGATGAATCGCGCGTGAATCGTGATGTTATTGTGCCAGACAATCGGGNAAATAGCACACAAACACCAAAAAAACAGTTACAAAATACTAAACTTTACTATTATTAACATTTTCATTCATCTAAAATGAATGTCATAAAGTAATGCAGAATGAAAACCATGAAGAGACTTCATGAAGAACAATTCTTAAAGTGTTCTGTGCAGCATTTGTTCTACATTACCTTATGATATACAGTACATTTTAGACAAATTAAAACATTAGAAATAACAAAGTTTAGTATTTCATAACTGTTTTTTGGGCTGCAATTTGAAAAAATTGTAGACCTATAAATTCCTGTTGTTGTTCGTCTCGCCATCCGTCCAGCTGTCTGTCTTTCCTTAGCCTCAAGAACAGTGTTAGGTAAATGAAATTCAAGACGAAATGTGGAAAGCTTGGGGGGCAGGCGGTCCCAATTAACAATATATGAACTTCTGATGCAAACCAGAAGTCATGTTATTTCAATTAAAAAATTTTTCCCTGAAAGGAGTTAGATAGATGACCGATACGACTCCATTGCTAAAACTATGATGTACAGGGTGAAAACACTACTAATTTGAGGTGGAGAGCATATTTAAATTAAATAAATTAAAAATGTGATTAAAAATTGCAGCCTACATTGTGACAATGTCACAATAAATAATTGCTTGTTTGGTGTTTGTATTATTTTCTGTCAATTACAACCAATTTCTATTGTTGTGTATTTTAACTATGATTTAGTAATATGTAATTTTAATATATAGAAGTTTAATTTTGAATTTTTGAATTTTTCAGATATGTAATGGATGATACAAATGATGATACTCATCTCTGCCTCAGATGCAAGAAGACTATCATAGGTCTTGAAAATTATATAATTCATCGAAGACAAATGTGTATGTATCTTCTTTCATCAAGTAATGAAACTTCTATGCTCAGTCCTTCAATTGAATCAGAACATAGAGAAAATCCTTACATTGTTCACCTTTCTGCAGATCATTTTTTCTCTAGTTTAGAACTTCAAAGTAAAACCACTGCTCCTAAGAATTCGATTGTGGAAACTACTGAAAGTCAGAGAATCTCTACACTTAGTGATTCATCTTTGTTTTCAGATCAAATACTAAGTAAAAATGATAATGCGTCTTGCAAAATTTCAAATGTAGAAATAGATTTTCATCTTGATGTATCTAATAGCAGCGAAGATTGCCAAAATTATTTTTATCCGCCTAGATCACACACGGGTGGTAAATGGAAACCGGGGACACGACCCGACATCGATAATCGGAGACAGTGGGATGTTCACTCTTATCCTCCCTCTCCTGCTGATGAAATTGATACTTATGATGAAATTTCTGTGGATACAAAAACAGAGAAATTGAAACATACCAAAGAAGATATAAACAGCACTAGATTAGAAAGTAGAAACACTTCAGAAACATTTCCTAAAGAAATAAATCAAAAGAAAACTATAAAAACAAATTTAATGAGAAAAAATGTTGCGAAAAATAAATCTGAAAATAATGAGAATGATTGTAAATGTGCACCTTGCAACAAAAATTTTGAAAACAAAATGAAACTGATGATTCATCTTTTGTCTTCCGAACACCAGAATAAATTTGATAGCGTTGATCAATGGCATAATGCTGTTTTTTGTCATCAGCAAAGTTTAGTTTATACATCACTTTTTCAATGTTTAATCTGTAGATATTTTTTCAACAATGATAATGCACTTATGACTCATTTAAAAACAGCCTGTCACATACAAAAAGTGAAACAATTAAAAGAACCACTTGTGTGTTTATCATGTAATTTTGAATGTCATGGAAGCAATAATTTATTAAATCATATACTTTCTAAAAATCATCAAAAACAGATATGTTGTGTGTCTCATTATCATCCCATTGTAATTAAAAACAAGTCCATGCATTGTATATGTTGTAATTGGGCCAGTAATTGTCAATTACAGGACACACATCTTAGGCAAGAGAATGTTATTTCTAATAGTATTAACAGAGAGCAAAGTGCCAATAATAATAATCCTAAAAATACTCAAGTGCAAGTGCCTACTATAGAAGAAATATTATCTAATTCTGAATTGTTGAACTCTGTTAATGAAGAACAATTGAAATGCACAGATTGTAATTCAAATTCTGTGTCATCTATTGAATTAAATGAAGATCAGAACAGTTGTAATTCAAACCAAAGGATATCAAAGATTAAAAATATAATAAGAAGAACAAAAAGTAGTAAAAAGAAGAAAGAATCTGAATATGATAGTATTCAAATAATAAAATCTGAAAATAATGAGAAAACTAAACATAATGATAAAAAACAAATAATTAAAAAATTTTTATGTCCTTATTGCAGCAAACCTTATCCTAAACATCATCTTAAGTTTCATATTTTTACACATACTGGTGAAAAACCATTCAAATGCTATATATGTAGCAGAGGCTTTGCACAAAGAAGTACACTTCAAGTCCACATAAAAAGACATCTGGGATTGAAACGGTTTAAATGCGACAAATGTGATTTTAGGACCGTACGTAGAAGCGTATTACTTAGGCATCAAGAAATCCATAAAAGTAATAGACCTCGTAATTGCCTTTGCGACATCTGTGGTTCTCCTCAGTTAGATCAATGGTCTCTCAAGCAACACATGAAAATCCATACAAAGAGTACTCACAAATGTACCCATTCTGGTTGTCATTTAACATTTCGTTCTCCAAGTGAATTACTGTATCATTTACGGGTGCACACAAATGAAAGACCTTATCTTTGCGACATTTGTGGTTACTGTGGTAAGACTCCGCATCAATTGAAAAAGCACCAGAGATCACACACGGGAGAGCGTCCTTTCAAATGCAAGCATTGCAATTATTCCGCCACTCTCAGCAGCCATTTACTTCGCCACATGAGACTGCATACGGGATCAAAACCATACAAGTGTCCTTATTGTCCTTATGCTTGTAATACTCAGGAAAATATTAGAAAGCACATTTTGAAAACTAAGAAACATGCAGGTAAGAAAATGTACCCATGTAAATTTTGTGATTTTGCATGTAATGAATTTCAAGATTATCGCGAACATCTGTCAAAACAACACGCAGACCAATTTCCAAATGGAGAAAAACAAATAGACTCCTCAGTTATTGCTGGGGTATATGTAAAAGATTTTCCAAGACAGGTCGACGAAGTTGTTCCATATTCTCCAAGAAAAAAATCTCCAGAAGTTGCAAAGAAACAGAAGAAGAAGAAAGATAAATCTAATACAAGGACAGATATAAAACATTCAGAGATGGAATCCCAAAAAACTGCAATGCCAGAAACTATAACAAATAGTGAAATTTGTGATAACGAACAGCCAGAATCAGTTTTGTACATAGAAATTCCTCCAGCGAGCCTTCCACAAAACGTAAGTTCAGAAAATATATTTAAAGACATTTCCAACGAATCGAATTTAGGAACACAAGTATCTATAGATAATTTAATCAATCGTACCGTTTCCGAATCATACACTTACTCCGATGATGGTACAGGAACCCAAATATTAGTTTCCAACGGTTTAGATTGTATTAATACAGATGAGATGTCCAATTTGATCGATCCTTCCACACTTCACATAATTGATAATACAGAAAACATCATATTTATCTACGTGCCTTTCACCTAACGAATCGAAATTTATTCTCATCTTATAGCAGTTTTAGTGCGAATTTTCTTATTGATCGATCTAAAACCAGATTTAAATAAATTGGAATTATCTTAATATTTAAGTCGAGTTAGCATGTGTTTTATATGGAAAATTTTAATGTTTTTCATCTGAAACTACGATAAGAATTGAATTATGAAATATCGATTTGAAATTTTATATTAATAATATAACTTAGGCTATATCGCAATGTAAAAGTTTAATGCCATGTATTTATATAACAAATTAAATACATGTTATAGGTACTGATTATATATATAACAGTACAGTATATGTTAATACAGTATTACAAAGATAAGATTCATACACAAATATATGCTCTTACAGAAATGCAAATTGCAAGTACTCAGCATAGTTATAACGTTCAGAAAAGATACCTTTGTAATCATTTAAAATTATCGTTATTGAATTTTCTTTGTAAAAATATAAAACTTTTAACGTAAAATACTATGTACTACATCCTTATCAATACCGATTTCGATGGGCAGACCGTAACTTAAGGCAAACAAGTTTCGTTTATTCGTTTATGTTACAATTATGCATTTTGGGCCAGCCTTTCTTCAGACTATTAAAATAAAAGCATTATTATTATATAACATTGTAACTTTTGTGTATATTATTTAGTCTATAGTAGAACTGTTTCGCTTAACGTTGCATTTTGTATGAACCTACCGATGAAGCGGTAAACAAAGCGGGCAAACAAAATAAACGGTAGCCAAATCTTGCAACACTGGAAGGAATACTAAATAATGCTGGAGTTGGAACTCAAAGGATTATAGACCCAAATGCGCGGAAAGGAGAGAAAGGTTGGAAAATTAAGGGTCAATATTTGCATAACAGGTAGTATATTTAACCTTTCTCACTACTATTTATCTTTTGGCTAGTGATGCAACGAATAGTAAGTTATATTCGGCCAAACTATTCGGCTTGATTAACGCACGTACGAAAATTGTCGCGCAAACCGCATTATGGCAAGGATGCGTACCCTGCTCTCTATTGACCCGCTGTCACTACGCTTCGCCAATCGCGTTAATTCTTGACAGTTGAAGCGGACAGACACCAGCGTCATGGCAGTATGTGTTAAGTGATGATATCAATGTGGATAACAATGAAATGACCTACACGTGTAGAGAAGGACGCGAAGTGAAAATGTGAAAATAAATATGAAATTGAGTCGATAACATAATCGAACAAGTCGAGGCAGCTTATTGGCGCGAAATTTGCGGCCGTCAATGCCAAATAATTGTTCTCATAAACTTCGGAAAGCTAAATGCTTGTAATGAAAGTCACTTAGCGCGCATGGGCGAAAGCCTGGGGCCGTTCAGGCTACCAAGCTGTCTGAAACTTCAGTTACGATTAATAATTTTGTACAATGAAACAAAAAAGTTAATTTCATTTTCGAGTTTATAATAAGGGATGATTTCATAAAAACGCGTTACAGTTCATTGATTATTATTATTTCACGTTTTATGACCTAAGTTTCTATCTAATGTGCCCACGCAGTAAAAGTTTTCACACAAATTTTTTACCCTTTTTCACCCCATTAGGGTTGAATTTCGTAAAATCTTTTCTTAGCATGCCTAAACTTTACAAAAGGAATACACCCTCAAATTTTTAAGTTTCTAGCACCTGTAGTTTTGGCTCTGCGTTAATTATTCTATCAGGACTTGTTCTTTTATATGGCGAATATATAGATGACTAAACTACATAATAAGTAGGTAGTTTTCATTTGATTTGTTACCTTTTTTTGATCTCTTAAAAAAATAACTTAGTTATATTACTTTTCCTTTGATCTTTTACATAAATAAGCAAAACATTGGGCTTTCTCGAACTTGAAATGTATGTTCAGCATTAATACAAGTTACCAAAATGATTAATTTACTGTGTTTTTGTTACTACTACTTTTTTAGATATTCGGTATTCGGCCGAATAACGAATAGTAACTGAATATTCGTTGCATCATTACTTTTGGCCTTTCTCTCCTATCCCCGAATTAGAGTCCCAACTCCAGCTTTATTTAGTATATCTTCCTCTTATTTCCAAGTATTTGAAAATATTTCCTTTCCACACAAAAATAGAATATGTATAAAGGTTTGTGGTATAAAATATGTATAAAGGCTTTGTGAAACTTCTTTTTTGAGTTTATGCCGTTGAAATAAATAAATAATAAAAATTTTGTTGCAAGACAAATTCCAATGCGGCTCAATAAACGTGTTTGTTTACACTTTTATTGAGCCGCTTGGAATTTGCCTTGGGCCGCATACCAGCCGCGGATTGGACACCCCTGAACTAAAGATTTGATCCGGATTCAAACCGGGTCCCTCAGAGTGACACACACATACTACTATAAATATCTCAGCCACCAGGTTACCTGTACTGTATTTAATGTTTAAAGTGTATACTTCAGCATGACCAGCAATCGTATTCATTGTGATATCTTTGAGGTAAGCACTAACACCTGAAAAATACAAATAAACCGAGCAAATTTTTATTGTGAGATCGTCACAATGCCTGGTTACAATTTTTAATTTATTTTTATTAAAAATATATGCTTTCCATCGCAAATTATTAGAGTGTTGCCTCTGTACATCATACTTTTCCTTTAACAATAGAATCATGCCGATTACCCATTAACTGCTTTCAGGGGAAAACTCTTGAAACAACGTTACTTCGGTACAAACCGGAAGTTCATATATAGTTAATCGGGCCTCCTACTGCTAAGGTTTTCATATCTGTCTCGGATTTCATCTATCTAATTCCGTTCTCGAGATTAACGAATGACAGTGGGAATTTATAGATTACAGTTTTTTTCAAATTGCAGCCGAATTACGTAATTATAAATAAAATCTTCGAAATGAATACCACCATTTTAAATTACTGTAATAACCAATGGAACAGGTCTGATGCCTACAAAATTATTGAAAATTATATTTCTTATCATCCTACAATTTTACGTCATTTCAGAACACTGCTCATTACGAATTTGGGAAGATGAACGGCCGAATGGCCGAACCTTTAATGTGCCCGCCTACCGCTCTGGAGGACCCAGGAACGAACTCAAACGGATCAAAAAATTCCGTGAACTTTTCGTGTGATGCTACCCGGATATGTCGGGCCTCGTCCCTCACCTATAGCAGTCATATTGTGTGCCTTCAGAACTGTCGATGGGCTCGATTAAAAGGCCCACTTAGTGCTCATAGAGCGGATAGAGTAAAAAACTGAAATGATGATATTACGTAAAGGTGAACTATCCTAATAAATGATTTTTAGGTACCGTACCTTCTTTTATACTATCCGCTCTGAGGGTATTAAGATGGCCTTCTCAGCATATCATGGATTCGGCCATTCATAAAATGGAGGCGGCCGGGTAGTGAGGAGTGGCTTTATATATCCGGAATTGACCATTTCCCAAAAAAATTACTTGGATCGCTCAGCCGGATACGATTCTGGGTCCCCAAAGCGGCTAAACGCTTCGGCCATCCGCCATCAGTTACGTCATGGCATAATTATTAAATATAGCATAATAATAGCCCGATTATTAACGGCAATCGTTTTAGCTTAAAGTGTTCAGCGTTTAGTGAACAAAAAATATTCGTTAGTGAATTTCAACAGTCACAGCAATTAGCTTCTGTTATAATAAAAACAAAATAAAATGAATTCCAGTTGGGTAATTTCGAATCGAATGGAACGAATTTTATTTGAATTCATTGGACGTTGGTGAAATTCCATTTCGAAAGATTACTCCAGAATTTCATCTTCAAAATTTTAACTAAAAATTAAAGGAAAATCTTTGAAAATGCAAAAAGGAGGTAATTTATTTGAATTTTTGTATATATATGTATTCTATTTTTGAAACGCCGATGTTCCAATTATCTGGTATTACCCGAGGATGGCCTAAGGAATAGCCCGAAAACGTTGGTTTTTAATAAAATTATCTTGGCAACATAAGGTTTGTTGTGATTATCTAATGATTATTTGCTGAGCACATTCTGTTAAATATTAAAACGGGAATAAATTTAATTATCGGAGGTTCTTTTTAAGCATTTCTATTTAAAAAAAAAAGTTTCTGAAAAAATGGCCGTTATTCGACTATAATATATAAATATATACAGTCGACCTCCCCCTATAACACTGTTGATAATTCCATTTTATATGAATTCCATGTTGTACGAGTCACTTAGATTTTACAAATACGTGTGCCGNCCTTCTCAGCATATCATGGATTCGGCCATTCATAAAATGGAGGCGGCCGGGTAGTGAGGAGTGGCTTTATATATCCGGAATTGACCATTTCCCAAAAAAATTACTTGGATCGCTCAGCCGGATACGATTCTGGGTCCCCAAAGCGGCTAAACGCTTCGGCCATCCGCCATCAGTTACGTCATGGCATAATTATTAAATATAGCATAATAATAGCCCGATTATTAACGGCAATCGTTTTAGCTTAAAGTGTTCAGCGTTTAGTGAACAAAAAATATTCGTTAGTGAATTTCAACAGTCACAGCAATTAGCTTCTGTTATTAAAATAAATAAATAAATATTGTTGAATAAAAACAAAATAAAATGAATTCCAGTTGGGTAATTTCGAATCGAATGGAACGAATTTTATTTGAATTCATTGGACGTTGGTGAAATTCCATTTCGAAAGATTACTCCAGAATTTCATCTTCAAAATTTTAACTAAAAATTAAAGGAAAATCTTTGAAAATGCAAAAAGGAGGTAATTTATTTGAATTTTTGTATTTAAATATATATATATATATATATTCTATTTTTGGTACGCCGATGTTCCAATTATCTGGTATAATCCGAAGATGGACTAAGGAATAGCCCGAAAACGTTAGTTTTCAATAAAATTTTCTTGGCAACACAAAGTTTGTTGTGATTATTTAATGATTATTTGCTGAACACATTCTGTTAAATATTAAAACGGGAAGAAATTTAATTACCGGAGGTTCTTTTTTAGCATTTCTGTTTAAAAAAAAGTTTCTGAAAAAATGGCCGTTATTCGACTATAATATATAAATATGTAACTTTAACAGGCTACATTTAAATTGTCGAAACATTTCTACATTCGGAACATTGGTTAAGTTCAAAATTTTCAATCACAACACTACTTGGCAGAGACTTGATTAATACAAAGCACCTTAATTTGCCGAGATTATTTACTTCGATACAAGCTAACGTTTTCAACGGCCATCTTCAAGTTTACATAACTTTTGGAACGACAGTTGCAAAGCGTTCCAAAATAGAACATTGAAAATTTTAAATGAAAAAAATTAATAGGAAGAATAACGGAAAAAATATAAAAGAAAAAAGAAAAATTACCAACAAACATAATACATTAATATAACAAGTAACATAAATATAACAGAAGCAATCTCAGCAAAGTAAATATATAAATTACACTACTGAATGTAAAAAGATTGAAAGAGCCAAAAAAATAATATATTGCATTCGTATAATTTTTAGATAAGAAATACCCTTCTCTTATATATTGGGTCGATATAAAAGTTTTTGGAATATTGTAGAGCCGTCTAGAATATTTGAAATTGCTTGCTGACAGGTGGCATCTAGAAGTTTCTCATGGGGTATAGAAACGAAGGGTGTTGAGATGCACAATTATAAGTGCATAAAAGTGAAAAGATATTCCGTGTGGCTAAATATATACGAAAATGTCAAATTTGGTGGTTTGCAGGCGTGCACCAAAGTTCTTTCTAAGAAACGTTCCAATACTTGGCTCGATACCATCATTACAGGAGATGAAAAATGGTGCCTGTATGTTAACCTAAAAATGCCGTCAAGCACAGCACAGGCCGTGCTAAAATAGTCAATGCATTAGCTCAAGGTTATGCTGGGTATTTAGTGTGACGTTCGAGGACCAGTTTATTGAGAGATATATTACTATAAACTTCCGAAATCTACTACGCTCAGCTGCAACGTTTGGCTGATCCTATCTATACTAAGAAGCCACAGATGAACACTGTGCGCTTTATTCACGACAACGTCAACAAGATTGACTTAAAAGAAGTTGCTTGATTTCTGTTGGGAGTTTTTTTTTTCATTTCCGAATAGCCCAGATCTTGTATCATACTATTACCATCTCTTCATATAACACGTCTTGGATAAAAAGCAGTATAGTGACGCGATAAAAACTACACTTGCAGAATTCTTCCAGTGAAAACTACGTGAGTTTTATTCATCAAGAATCCGCGACGTGCCGAATCGATGGAAGAAGGTGCTTGAATTTATATATATAATCGAAATGGGTTGATAAGAATAATAATAAGCGCAGAGCCCAAACGGTTAGGAGTTGATAGTTTAAATTTGGTACACAGGGTACGTCATGAGAACGTACACTAAGAAGGGATTTTTCGAAATTCCTCCCCGAGGGGAAAGGGAAAGGGTTAATCTTTGCTATTGTTACATTTTGCCCGAGCAACGCCGGGCTCATCTGCTAGTATAATAATAATTATATTCTTGAATAAACTATTGTTTTCTTTTTCAAATAAATTTTGTACTACAAATCTCTAGAAAATTCAAGAAACTTTTGTATCAACCCTGTATCTATTACTTTTATAAATGAAATAATAGTAAATAATTTTTTTTCAACAGAATTCAATTATTCATCTGCCCGCCGATATGGTGAGTTACTATTTTTTATCTCAGTTATTCGTAGATCGACATTATATTGCTGCATACATTAATGTATATTTTTCTCTTCTCGGTGTTCCTCTCCATAATCGATACAGTTGTAAGTGTAGTCTCCATTGTTAATTCTAAACCTTTAGAACGATTATATAATGAAAATTTGTTAAATTATCTTTATTTAGATGTCGGCAAAAAGGGAGCTTTTTCGCCAACAGTTATCTCCTGATTTGTTAGCCCACAGGAAGAAAAATGATGCTGGAGCCGTGAGTCCAACACCCAAAGAAATGGACGAAGATTCTGATTACGTTGGCTTTTCCAATTTGACAAATGAGATTTATCGGCTGTCGGTCAGACGAGGATTTCACTTCACTTTAATGCTTGTCGGTATGTAACTTTTTATTCTATAAATGTACTGAAAGTGTACAAAATTATATATATTTCCTCTATTTTCATCTACGCACGCTTCAATAGGAGAAGCGGGATTGGGAAAATCTACATTCCTGAACAATCTCTTCCTCTCCAATATTTACTCCGACGAATATCCGAGTCCTTCCGAAAGAATCAAACCAACAGTGCAGGTCAGAAACAATATTTTAATGTACAATTAATATTGATTTAACTCATAACATGCAATTTCAGATCGAGACGACGAAGCTGCAGCTGGAAGAAAATGGCGTCAAGTTAAATCTAACGGTGGTGGATGTACCCGGATTCGGGGATTCTTTAAACAATACTGGATGGTAAATTTGTTAACAGTGCGAATGAATTGAATTTAAAATATTTAAATAAAATGATTTTCAGTTGGCGTCCAATAACTAATTTCATCAATGAGAGATTCGACCAATATTTAGAAGATGAATCGCGCGTGAATCGTGATGTTATTGTGCCAGACAATCGGGTTCATTGTTGCCTTTATTTTATTTCGCCTTGTGGAAATGGGTGAGAATTCATTAAAAATTATACAAATAAATATTTATATTAAAATTAATTTATTTACAGTCGATTCAATATATATACATTTTAACTCTTTTCCTCCTGTGAACACTAAAAGGGTCTTTTTTGCAAGCCCATTTTGGATTCGGCTAGGCTGAAAATGATGCGGCAGGGTGGAGATGGACGGGGGCAGACATATCCCGTAAAATTTCTGGAGTTCTTTCGATCCGTTCGGATTATATCCTGGGTCTTTTAAAGCAGTAGGCTTTCATCTTAATACTCGGCCATACGACCATCTAAAATAATGTGTACCTTCGGGTGTTATACACATGAAAACAAGGAAAACTCCACATTGCCAGCCCACACTCTGGAGAATCAAGATCGAATCGGAATGGTCGAAAACCTCAGGAATTTTTCGAGTGTTGATCCGTCCATGATATGGCGGGCCGTCCCTCACCTATCTGCCTGCATTATGGCCTGTTGAAATCCACGCTGGAGCCGGAAAAAACAAGATTTCTTACTGACTACAGGGCGTTGAAAGAGTAAAAGAAATTAAGTATCATTTATGAAAATTATTAAAGATATTAATATTGAACTAATTCGTTTTATTATTTACATTTGCAGGTTAAGACCCTTGGATGTTGAAGTGATGAAGAATTTGCATGATAAAGTTAACATCATTCCACTTATTGCAAAGGCTGATTCATTTACACCCGAAGAATGTGCAGCTTTTAAGAAAATCGTAAGTTCTGTTAGATCCTATGCCGTAAAATATGATCTTCAGCAATTAGAAAACAAGTTTTTTTTTTCTTTAAATACGATTTATAAGATAAAATAATGTTGATACTTTGCAGATAATGAATCAAATTGCACACCACAATATTAAAATCTACGATTTTCCATCCCACGTTCACGGAGATAACGAAGCTCTTAATAATCTTAAGGTAATTACAATGATTACACTCTTCATCAGCAACTACCTAATTATAATTATAACTGAATGTACAGAAGGGTTTATTTGCATTATCATCATTACTCGATAATTAAGTCCATATAAAATAGATTAGAAATAATTTTTATTTAATTAATTAAAATGATTCCAACAATTTCTTTGAAGGAAAGACTTCCCTATGCCATTATGGGAAGTATGTCATTAGAGGACGTATCCGGAACCAAAAAAAGAGGAAGAAAATACCCATGGGGTACAGCAGAAAGTGAGTTTTATATTTTATTGTTTCTGTAAATAATGATAATTATTTATAGTATAATTTACTTTAATTATGATATGTAATTAATGGAATTGCACTGAAGGCGTGCAAACATATTGTATAATATTCAATAATTCGCGATTCAAAAATCACATGAAAAAACATTCCATTTATTTAATTTAATGTAAATATTACAAATAAAATAATTACAAATTTGATTTATTGTCTTAGAGTTAAAGGTTTTTAATTAATGTATTTAATGTGCAGTTTATCCGAAACGATAAAGACTTCAGCTTTTATATGCTGAGGGACCGAGTTCGAGTTCAGGCTGTATCCTCAGAAATTTCACGGGTAATGGACTAAACCAATACCCATTCATCGCGGGTCTGATGAAACGATAATTCATGTTTGTGCCCATGGATTTTGCATGTTTCATCTAAAACACATGGTTTAGAAGGGCCTTTTATAATACTAAATATATTATAAAGTTACATATTAAATTATTGCATTTGTATTTATTAAAGGAATCACACATGTTTAACACATTAATTAATAAAATGTTTAAATTAATGACTAATGTTCATAGAATTCATACATTGAATCGTGTAATGTTACTTTCTTCCAGTTGAGAACGTAGAACATTGTGATTTTGTAGCATTCAGAAATTTATTTGTGAGGTAATGAAAAATAATATATTCATTTAAAAATACTTTATTATGTACAAAAACAATAAGTATATTACATATTTTTTGTAGAACACATCTGCAAAATTTAATTGATACAACTAATAATCAACATTATGAAATGTATCGATGCAGAAAACTGAGTGCATTCGGTAAAGAAGGAAGAAGATCATCCAACAAGTAAATTCAAACAATATTATATTAGAAAATGAAAGAGAATTAAACAATATTTTGCATTATATAGCCTATATATTTTTTTTTAATTTTTACTCAAAGGAATCCCATGGCTGAAATGGAAGAAGAAAAGCGCCATCAGGAAGCCAAATTGAAGAAAATGGAGGAAGAAATGGAACGGGTTTTCGAGATGAAAATAAGAGAAAAAATGCAAAAATTGAAGGATTCCGAAGCCGAAGTATATTATTTATCGAAATTAATTTCGATAAATAATTTTGCATTTAACATTAATTAAATATTTTGTGTTTATTGAATAGCTGGAACGTCGCAACGAGCAGATGATTGCGGCTTTAGAATTTCAAAGAAAGGATTTGGAGGAAAGACGCCTGAGTTTCGAAAGAGAGAAAAAATTGGAAGAGTCTAAGTCAGTATTTTCATAAATTATATTAATTTTCTGTATGATAAGTTATTATCAAAATTTAATTGAATAAGAATGCAGATTTTCATCATTAAACAATACAATTATTTTGCAGTCAATTTAAAGTAATTTTCAAGCAAAGAAGTTGAAATTAACCAATAATTTTCTTGCAACAAATCTGATCAATTGAACTAAATACAACTTTAAATTGATATCTGGGTTGGGTCAGTTGCAAGTTCTAAAAATATCCTTAAATAAGTCAGTTACCCATTGTAAATACCAAATTCCCGTATTGTTTTGTAATCAATTGTGTTAATATTCATTATTGTTTGTTAAGTTATGACAACGCAACATTTGGGCGATCTGCCTAGGGGATACCTTCCGGAAGGTCTTTTTAAGGGAAACTGGCCCCTATTTAAGCATTACAGACGTGGAGAAAACCCGAAAAACTCCACGTGGCCAGCCTGTCCGAGAGAGCCGCGAACCCACGACCGAACGCTCAGTGTTCAGGGTACAAAGACCGCTTGGCCACTGGTGGACTGTCAACATTCGTTCTTCTTTGTTTCTTCATCGAACCAAAAGATATTTCCTTTATATATAACGGCGCACGGAGTTTTTATGATATAGAAACGGGCGAATACGAGTTCTTTTATTAATTATAGATTTCTTTTTCTGTAACAGGTCGATTCAGGACCATCGGGACAAAAAGGCAGAAAAGAAAAAACATTTATTCTAAAGAAAGAATTCCCAGGCATCAAAATTCAAGCAAAATTTCCTTAGCGATTTTACATTTTTTTTAAAATATAATTCTAAATTATATACTCAGTTAATATTCTATGTTATTTCTCTTACCAAAATAAATTAATTACTGTTGAAAAAATTTTTATGGTTTCATTCTTTCCATAGAAACGACCGTTACCTAGAACGTTCCAATCCAGAAACACATTCAAAATGACGATTCATTGTAATTTAATAGTAGTAACAATGGGACCGTCACGTGGTGTGAGGCGGGGGAAGTTAAAGAAAAAACAGTATGCGCGCTAATTCGGGAGGGAGCTCTGTTTGATTCTCGTGGCTGTTGGTGTGAAAATCTTTGTTCTCTAATGATCTGACTTATTTTTGCTTTCTTCTTGAAAAATGTCAGAGTTTCAGGCTCAGAAAAGAAAACATTTATCGCCACTATCTCAAGAATGATCACCACCACGTGTAAGAAAGCGAAGAAAGTGTCTCGGGTGAGTCAAACAGTTGATCTTGCGTTATATAAGTGCCGAAAAGGAGATTAATGTTGATAAATGAATTCGACTTCTGTTAGAATTGCAAGCTTCTTCAAAGAGTAAAACTATGAGTAGTTTTAAAGCGTTTAGATAGAATGTAAGCGTGGATTAAAAATATTAATAAATTTGAAAAACATTGAAATTGTGGGTGATGCCATTTGTTACGATATTTTATTATTAAAATTTTTATATTATTAATTATTTATTATAAATGACAAAAAGCTTTATTTTGAGGGCAGAGATGAGTTTTAAAAAATTGTAAATGTTAATAGCTAGTAAAATCTTCATTAAGACCGACCCCACTCGAGATACGACATGCCTTTAACCACCGAAATTTAATAGCATCAATCCTCCTAATACACAAACAACCCTGCAAAATTTCAGGAAACTTCGAGTAAAGGCACAAGAGTTAACTAAATATCAAACTCAGCGTTTTTAAAACACTTAATGAAACATTAAACACCTTCTATGGCTGAGAAATTATTTATTTAATGAAACACTTAACGTTTTCAGCCTCGTAGAATAGGCCATCCTCAGGTGTAAATGTATTTTAAAACTGTTCGAACATTATACATTCAATTTTAAAACGAAAATACAGTGGTGCCTCGTATAACGTACTTAATCCGTTCCAGGTGCACGTCCGTTAAGTGAAAAGTCCGTTATACGAAACGCATTTTCCCGTAGAAATACATGTTAAAACATATAATTCGTTCCGCAGCATAAAATAACCGTACTGTACCATAACAAAAAAATGAAAATGGAGCAGTTACCAATTATGCTGGGTAGTCAGATGTTGTGAGGAGGAGGTGGAGGAACACTTTCTTCCCACATTCATACAGATACAGAATTTTTACACATTGCAGCGGGTCTTTTTTATTGTTTTTTAATCGGATTAAGATTCAGGAGAGGCTACCGGAGCTTGCAGGGTCAACTCCTCTTGTTCCATCCTTTGTTTTTTCCCTGCTGGCTTCTTGAAAAACATGTCCAAGATGGTCTGTTTCTCGCTCTTCTTCAACACCTGTCGGAAATAACGAGCAAGGGTGTCATTGTAGAGATCATTGATACTGTTGGCCTCAGCTCTGTTTGGATAATGAGTGTTGGTAAACTCTTGAACCTCTCCCCATTCGACAAGGAAGTTTTTGTCAACTTTCACTCCTTCTGATGATTTCTTGCATTGTTTCAATTGAAATCACTTTTCTGTTTTTTTAGAAGCCATGATTTGCACAACACTTGAATAAATGTAAATACCCTGCACTGAGGTGATGTACGTAATAAACAAGGGAGCAAGCCGAATCCCAACGGGAGCTCTGTACTTCAGATATACTAATAATATATTCTAATAATACTAATATATTATAAAAATAGCAGATTGTCATTGGCAACGGCAAAAGAGTGGAAACATCATTCGCATTTGTTTGTAGAAAGTCCATTGTTCGCCTCACGTAACTGCCGAACGGAAGTCCGTTGTCCGCAGCCAGTCCGTTGCTCGAGTCACGTAACGGCCAAACAGAAAGTTCGTTATTCGCAGCGTCCGTTATTCGAGGCGTACGTTATGCGAGGCACCACTGTAATAGATAAATTAACAAGTAAATAAAATAAAATGTACTAAATACACTGAAGCAACAAGGATATAAATAATAAAATAAAATTAATAGGTAAAAATGCATCAAAATATAAGGGCAGGTACAGACTAAGAATTCTTATATTTTAATCTTTCTTATATGTAGAATTTCCAGGCAGAAGCTAATCTATCCGCATCTCTGGCATTAATACAGTGCAACCATCCTTTAATTTATATAAAACCAACACATAGTCGACTTTACATTCCCGTCCCGGATACAAACTGTCCGCTTTTCGTGCACTCATTAGAAGAGCGTATTCATATTGCTCTAATGTACTGTACTAGACAGGATGAAGGAAATTAATAGAATCAAAGAAATATCTTCAAACTTGGGATATAAAAAGAGTATAATAGAAGGGCTAATTAAAAGATGTGAAGGAGACAAAGAATTAAAAACCCAAACAAATCACCAAGTTCACTTATAATAAAAACATTAAGGACATCATGAAGGAAGTATCGAACAAAAAATATTCCAAAAATAGTGTACAAAAGAGCTCCTAATTTGTATAGTATTCTCAGAAATGATAAAGACATGCCTAAGAAAGAAGAAAAAGCGGGCGTATATAGAATTACTTTTGAAAATCATCAATTAGGAATTAAGAAGGACTATATCGTAGTCACAAGAAGAAATTTAGCTGTTAGACTTAAAGAACACAAGNTTGGGGTTTTTTTTTTCATTTCCGAATAGCCCAGATCTTGTATCATACTATTACCATCTCTTCATATAACACGTCTTGGATAAAAAGCAGTATAGTGACGCGATAAAAACTACACTTGCAGAATTCTTCCAGTGAAAACTACGTGAGTTTTATTCATCAAGAATCCGCGACGTGCCGAATCGATGGAAGAAGGTGCTTGAATTTATATATATAATCGAAATGGGTTGATAAGAATAATAATAAGCGCAGAGCCCAAACGGTTAGGAGTTGATAGTTTAAATTTGGTACACAGGGTACGTCATGAGAACGTACACTAAGAAGGGATTTTTCGAAATNATAAGTAAATTAATGATCACTTTATATCATGTTCTAAAAGAAATGAGAAGGAACCTGAACGGTCACTCAAGGACACCTGTAGGAAGTGATCATTAATGGCGATTGTACCCCAGAAATTTGTTTTATTTATTTATTTTTTTCCTTCTTTGCTTCTTTTCGAATAATAGATTAATAAATTGAAGGTATATTTGTAAGAATAAATCTATTTTAATAGCCTTTACATGCAGGGCTGAGGAATCGGAATCGAAAGTAAAAGCCTATATGACTCCTTTGAGACGAAATGACTCCTCTAGTTCTCTTTAAAGCCGCAACAGTAGCTTTATTATTTTAAAATCTCGGCGTTGTTTATGATAGTTGGACTTTTCATTACTTTTTTGGCATATTTATAAATCACACTCTTAAAGATAAGAAGGAACATACAATCCTGCGATCGTTCTTGGTCTCTCTCTCTCTCTCTCTCTCTCGAAAATCTTAGTGGGAATTTATAGGTCTACTTTTTGAAAATTGCAACTAAAATAGCCTGTCTAAACATGGCCTTAGTGTATGTATGTCAATGTTGCGATTATACAATTAATATTTGAGGTCAATGGTGTCAATGGATTTAAATAATTAACACCATTCTCGGGTACCTAACGTTGCTCGGGCTTTAGAAGGATAGAAGTTGGTGAGGCTGGGTTGCAAGAGGGTTATAAAAACAATAATCTTAGTAACTAAAATGTATATTTATTGACCAGAGTATTCACAATAATCATTCTGAAAAACACACAAAAAATAAGAAAAAGAAATTGCTCGGGTTTAAGTTAACAGGAAATGGGGGACTTCCACAGTATTTTTACTTTCCCCGCTGTTATATACTGTATAACAAAGGAAAAGTATGGCGATCTTGCACCCCAAGATTTTTTACATTGTTGAACTTAGGACACCTTGAAACGTTGAGAAATGCAAAATAATTTCGGGTGTTCTTTCTGTACGTATGAATGCTTGTGTGTGGGGTGCAAGATTTTGTTCACCCCACTCTGAAGCTTAATAACTCCTGCGCTTTTTGTCGAAAATTTCTGAAATTCTGCAGGAAAGTTTGTGTATTAGGGAAATTGAAGCTGTTAAAGTTTGGTGGTTAAAGGTCGAGAGGGTGGGAGATAGAGGTAATCAGGTGTCATAGCTCGAGTGGGATCTGACTTAATGATTAATGATTTTACTCGTTATTAGCATTTACAATCTTTTTTTAATATAAAACCCATCCCTACCCTGAAAATTAAGCCTTTTTGCCATTTTATAGTAATTAATAATATAAAACGTTTTTTAATAAAATATCGTAACAGACGGCGCCATACGCATTTTAAACGTCGTTACCGGGAAAGTGAAGCAACTCGTTGCTGGATTTTCTCTAAGGGGTCGAATGACATTCATTTAAAATTTGGCGAGGATACGTTGACCTGTACCCTTTGCCTAACAAACATACATATTTTAATTAACTTTTACTCGTATACACGTAGATATATAACTGAAATTAAATTTTATAACTGTCTTAATTACTACATATTATTTGAAAATAAACTAAATGAATACATACAAGAATTATGAGAGTTATTAAAACACTGTACTTTAAGGAAACGCGAATTCGATTACGATATTTAATCGCAATAAACGAAATTGGAATTTAGGAAAAGTAATTGTTCGACGTATTTCGATTTCAGTCTCCTTTTTCGATCGTTTGTAATTAAATAATCTTTCGAAAAAATTCTTTGAGGAGGGACCGAAGTTGACAGAACGCATCCTCTCTTTAAAAATACTCGTGACAAATTGGGGTATTTGTTCTCCTGTTCTTTCCACCACGTCAATGCCTCCTTGTTCCTCTTCACCAGATTTTCTTCTAAGTAATGTTCAACTTCCATCGTCGCAGACGATTCGCTCGAAACTGTTTTAAAATAAATCAAACCAGCAATTATTCAGTGACATGATCACAATATCGGGCTGCAAATTTTAATCTCCATCCGGGCTCTACAACTCAAATTAGTAGTGTCTTACCCCTGTACATCGTACTTTACCTGTTAGCAATTGAGTCGTGCCCGTTTTCTATCTAACACCTTTCAGGGTGAAATTTTTTGAACTAAAATCACGTGAATTTCGGTGCAAACCGAAAGTTAGTATATAGTTAATCGGAACCTCCTGTCCCTAAGCGTTCATCTATATAACCCCGTTCTCGTCTCGAGAATTTATAGGTCTACAATTTTTTAAAATTGAAATCCAATAAAGTGGGTTGATTCGGATAATTCCAGCAGTGACCGAGTGGATAAAATCAAATAGTAGTTGGTCGCGGGTTCGCACATCATCAACGGATTGGCTAGGGCTTTTATCGCACCTAAAGAAGGGTCAGTTTCCCATAAAAATTGTCCCAGGAGGCACCTTTGGAGTTCGCTCGCGTGTTACATTGACTTATTTCATTAATCCATTCCAATACATTGATTCAAACAAGAAAGGTTTTGTAAAATGGGCCTCAGTTTATTACCTCGTTTAGAGGCTGAACGTATAAAAACACTTATTACTACAAGAGAAAACACTGAAATTTGGCTGAAACTGTACGCCATTAGTATTTTAGTTAACCAGGGCTTTCTGGAGGAGCTGCTAGCAATGAATCATTTCATTAGATACAATAGTTAATATTTTGATAAAATATATAACGATAAAATGAAAGCCCAATAATCTTTGATCCAGTTTCATAAGTTAGACAGAAAACGGCGCGAATCTTTAAAATTTTCGTTTTAGGGTACATTGGTATATGGCAGTGCCACACATGGGCGATCTGCCGAGGGAGGAATACCTCCTGGATTTTGTAGGAAACTGGCCCCTATTTAGATATTACTAACGTGTAGCAAACTCGGAAAACTCCACGTGGCCAGGCGCGAACCCACGAACTAACTACCAGTTTTCGGTGGTTTTATCCATTCGACCACTGGTAGGTTCTTTAAAATTTCGTTTATTTATTATTAAGTGCAGAATTATAAACATTTATTTACCTGTTGATTTCACTTTAGATGACAGCATATCAAAATTCTTCCACACAGAAAATTCATTATCCCCATTTTCTGGTTCCTCCTCTTCTAGTATCAAATCAGTCTTTCCTTTATTTGTCTCTCCCGCAACTAATTCCACTACTGTCTTTTTTACTTCGTCAGTGGCACTCCTGTCACTAAAAGCTAACAATTTAAATCGAGGATCCAGAAAAGAGCACAAAGCAATATTTTTATTATTTTCTAAACTTGAAAATCTTGTGGAAAGATCGTGCAACAAACTATTGAGAACATTTTTAACCGTGCGATCGAAATTTTGTTCCATTAATTCGGTACATACGGAGATTAAACCATTTGTAAATATAATTATTTGGCTTGCCATTACGTATTGTTCTCGACAGAGTTGAACCGTAACTTCTTCGAAAGGTTTCAATATTTTAAGAACCTGTTTGCATATTCCCCATTCCTCTTCTGTAAGGAGTGGCACATGTTCATTGAACAAAGTTGCCACAATTTCCCTTAATTCCACAAATCTTTCCACCATGTAATAAGTGGAATTCCACCTACCGACATCATCGTGGATTAGCTTCTCACCAGCTGAAGTTTCTTGTTGACAGGTTGAAGAATGGGATATTGTTATAATATTCCTTTTAACGTAACCGACAATCTGTCTAATTTTCTTTAATAATGGCCCAATATGTTGTAGAGAATTTTGCAAAATTGAATTTAATGTATGGGCGTAACAACAGAACCATTCCCAATTCAATTGTTGCGCCACAGTTCTTAAATTAGCCACATCTTCGCTTACCACGATCAAAATTTTATCGGATAAATTAAATTTCTCTACAATAGATCGAATCTCTTCTGCCAAATAGGATCCATCTTGTAGAATGCAACCTAATAACATCGATTGGAACTGAAATTCATCCGTTATGTAATGGGCCGTTAATGAAAGATACGGCTCATTGTTCTCGGATGTCCAACTGTCAAATGTTAAGCAAACTGCTTTCGCCATACTTAATTTCTCTGTAACTTTATGCAGACATTGCTTGTAGAGTGTAGGTATTATAGTTTGAGTTATAACTTTCTTCTTTGGTAATTCGTAATTTGGGTCTAATGCTTTGATAAACTGGGCAAAACCCCTCCCTTCGACAATAGAAAACGGTTGTAAATCGATTATAAATAAATTCAACAATTTTTTATCGATAAAATTCCTTTGCGGAATTAGAGATGAGGAAAATCTTTGCTTCCTTCTATTGCTAAATTTATTAAATTCGTGCAAACGGGAAGTCTCGACGTGGTTATTACTCGATGTAGACGTAGATACGACGACGCCATCTTCATTTTTATGGAGTGCTTCCAAATTGATTGCCGGGTGCTTTCTGCTTAAATGCTTTTTTAGATTCGTGATTGTCGAATGGTAACTTAATTTTTTTGCGCAGATATCGCATTCGGCTAACTTTAATTCGTTATTTAGGATAGTAAAGTGGGACCACACCGAACTGATTTTACTTCTTTTATTCATAGTTAAACTTTTTTCTACTCAAATCTTTATATTTAAAAGAGTAACACAAATATAAGTAATCGAACCAGCACTTACTCTTCTATTTCTCTCTTATAAATTTCCAAATATATGAATCTTGATTTTAAAAAATGGTGCAAATCTGTAGTGAAATAGAGCTAAGGAAGTTTTGCAACTGTAGTGAAGTGCCAAAAATAACAGAACAGTCGTATTGAAACAGTTCCTTTTTTAGGGACAACTCCCAATAAATAACGTCTTCCAAATATAACTCGTTATCGCTTCCAAAAATTATTTCTATTTTTGAAACGGTGCGATTACACCAATAAACATATGTAACGCTAGTGTGATGTGTTGTTAACTCTCGAAATATAACAATTGAAAAATATTTTAAAATAAAAGTAACCAATCAGAAATTACGTCACGTGTTGTGCGTTACCATTATGAATGACAACTGGAAAATCTCCCCTACCAACTTGGAGAACCTGTGTGGTTCCGGTTCGGAAGCAATATTTTTTTAATGGGCGCTCTGACCCCGGCCACTTCCAAAAGTGGGCCTGGCCTGCCTACCGGGCAAAGCGTCAAAAATTGAAAAAAACGAGCGATTATTTTGTCGCAACTGTCTGTCCCAACCCTCACTTCATTGTGGGTCTGAACGAACCAACAGTGGGATTGCTTTTAAAAAGGCCCTCTTAATGTTTACATAGCAGAGAGAGTTCAAGAAAACGAAAATGGCTTCGAGTTTATACTATTGAAAAAACATTCTATCGATTTATGAAAAATTGATAGAATGTTTGCAGCAGCAGCTTATGGGTACTGAATAGTAATTGTAAATTTCACATTCTGATTTGCTGTATGTAAACTACGGGCGATTAATTTGATGCATGATAATACTCAAGCTTGAACTTTGATGTTTGTTTCCAGCTTGTGGATTCTATCTGTAAATTGTGAGATGTAAAATTATTTTGTTTTAGTAATTCTAGAATAAATGGAAACAGAACTTCAAATTTCATTATTATATAAAAACTAATTGAGGTTCTGTCAGCCTTGGAGTAATAGAAAAGTTGAATAATTTCATTGTTTTATTAATATCAAATTACAGTCGACCCCCCTATAACACGGTAGATACGTTCCGTTTTTTATGAAATTGATGTTTTAGGAGACCTTGCCAATCACAGCCCGACACGTGTGAAGTTTACGAACTACGGCTGTTTGAAAGGTTTTCTTCCATAAAATTAATCGATTCTAGACTAATTCGACTCAACATTTCCAAAACACGTATAATTTTTTGGGAATAATCCGTATAAACTACATATAAACAAAATATTGTAAGATTATTTACTGAGTGTGCACCGTTCGACATCGCCATTGCTTAAGCTTGTTTTCGTCGCGGAGCAGCGCACCAAACGGCTGCCGCGATTTCTGATAAGTTATTTTTCTGCGAAAAATTCGCTAAACTTTGGAGACATCATTAATAAAAATAATTTTTATGGCCGTTGAATAAGAAATGTATAAAATTAGTGGTGTATTAGACTTATAGTACCTAATTTACATACTGTACAGACGATAGTAAACTCAATTTACCCGCCTAAACTCTCCGTAGCGTGGCGTTGGACGGCAGAAAGTAGTTCGGTTGCCCGATGACGTTTTACCTAATTATAGGAGTTTTTTTTTATCATGTTTGTACGGATACCGTCGCAATTTTTTCGCCGTCATATAAGAATCCGAACTATAGGAACCCGTGTTATAGGGGGGGGTCGACTGTATGTAGGACGAAATTATTTTAATACACAATTTTCCCTCCCACTATTATTTGCATTTACTTTATATCTATCTATTTTATTGCATTTATAAGGTAGTGATTATATATTGTTATTTATAAATGATTCATCTGATTTTCTTTGGCTGAATCCATCCTGTGGGAACTAAGAGGGACTTTTTCTCCATACTCATTGTGGGTTTGGCCAGGCTCACAATAGATATGTGAAAAAAACAATCTCAACATACCAGGACAGATCCTTCATGAAAAATTCCTGGTAAGTTGCTCCGCCAGATCCCGCGCTTCAGAAAATTCTTTTAAAAATGGAAAAAAATATACTACTATAATTAAAATCCTTCACTTTATTATCACATATATTAAATTTCTCTCTCTACTGTAACATTGAATTTCAAACGAAAATTAACTGGTTGGAGTCTTAAGTTAGATAATTCATTAATGGATAACTTTTCCATATTAAGAAACATTAAATACAATTGTCACAAAATTATATGAATATGAAAAAAAATTATATATATGAAAGTTTATATTTATATGCAATATGAAAATATCTAATAGCTTTGCGTGACCTTTTCTTCTACTTTTTGTATGTGTGTTCCTATTTACCCGTATTGATTTGCACAATGGAAACATTCATTGTGCGTGCCTTTCAATCCAATTGTATGTCCAGTATGAACTATTCACTTAGTTCTAAATTGTATGTTTCGACCTGATCGAGAGTTTGAAATTTTTGAATAAAAGACATTTACTTACCTCTCTCAAAAATAAATTCTCTTTTTATTCTATAAATTAATAGCATTATAACTTTCTGATAAAGAAAACCATAATTGCAAAAATTGAAAATTTCTTTATATTCTTAAATCCATCATATTCACATATATATACATATATATGTATATATATATATACTTTTTTTCCTTTCATCCCAATTTGAGGGTAAGAGTCATTTATCAGAAAATTAAAAAATGGAAATTATGCAAATAATAGTTTAGTTTGGACATTATTATTATTTGCACTTTAACAAATTAAGCTATATAAAAAGTCTTTGAAACTGTACAATTTATACATATAACATCTCTATGTACACGAGTTAAATATATGTTCTTCAACCTACGGTGACTAGAAATGCAACATGAGGCACTAATTGGCAAATTAAGAATTGGAAGCATTAATTGGAGTGTGGAAGAATTTACTTTTCGTTGGAATGAGCTCTTTTTATGTGGTTTTTAAGGTTGCCATTTTGAGTGAAGGCAGTATTGCAGTATGGGCACTGGAACGGCTTCTCTCCAGTATGTTTCTTCATGTGGGTCTGAAGGGCGTTTTTCTGATTGAATGCTTTGTCACATTCCTCGCAAACAAATGGCCTTTCACCTGTATGAATGCGCTTATGCCTTTCTAGTTGACTGGGCTTGGAAAATGCTTTCGAGCAATGCGAACACTGATGGGGAGTGGGGCGCTGTTTTTGATTAGAACTGCAGTGCGTGAGTAAATGGTCTCTCAGATGTGTCGCTCTTTTGAAACTTTTACTACATACTTCACAAGTGTGCTTCCTTTCTTGGTTGGCCACAACATTTTCTTCGTTGGTGACATGCAACAGGTCTATGTTTGGAATGATACTTTCACTTATGCCGACCGATGCTGTTTCCACATTGATACTATCATTTTCCAAACCCAGAACTTCTTCCTCTACAACATTCATAGATGAATCGACACCTATAGTGACTTGGTTCCCTATAATCTCTTCCTTATTGTTAGATAAACTAGTCAAATTAAAAGTTTTAGTTCCGTCCGGTCTTATTTCGTCAGGTTCTGTTGTAATTATTTCTTGTTCCGAATTTAAAGGAATATTCAAATTAGTTAAGGAATGAATAATAATATTTGGATTGACTGTTGTCGTAATCGTGTTGTCATTAGCAATGGTACTTTGAAGGATTGCAGAATCACTCACTGCTGTATCTGTTGTTGTGGCAAGAGGTTCTGTTAATAAACTAGGACTAATGGTAATATTAATATTACCATGTTGCTGTAACTGTTGTAAAAGATGTGCATCTATTTGCACAGTTTGTGAAAGAAGAGATGGATCAATTCCAGTTATTTGAATACTGCCACCTAAAACATTAGGCGTGACCAACTGAACACCTTCAATTCCTTGAATTATTTGTGAAGAGGCAGTGTCCGAATTGACATTTCCTCCCAATATATTGAGGGAATTTGTAGATAGCATATTTTCTTCTTGTTGCGTATTAGATATTTGTAAGATATTTGAAGCAACAGTTTCCTGTTCTGTTGTATTTTCTTGTGCAGTCTTTTTCTTGGATGGAATTTTGAAATGAGTGGCGATGTGACCTTTCCGATGTCCAGAGGTTCGGAAACGTAAATCACAATGAGGACACTTGAAAGGTTTAGCACCTGAAAAAAATATATTGAATAATTTCTTAAACAATCAATAAAGAATTAAAATATATTTTAAATTTACATTTAATAATATTAGTACAGGGTGAAAAAATGCTGTAATTTTTGGACAGTTTGTTAGAAATAAATGGTGTTTAAGAATTTGATACACGGATAGTTGGAACACAATGTAAATGTGTACAAAACAATAAGCAAGTATTTGGTCCCATATTGATTGTTCAGGATGTACAAGAAAAGGTAGTACTCCATGGTTCACATATAGCCCCTAAAAGTTGCAATATGGGAAGCATTTAAAGATAAAATTTGTATCTCTAATGGAAAACATGTAGATTCTTCAGGAGCACATTAGAGATGCAATGAAAAAAATTTCAGCAAAGGCCAGACACTATATTATTGACCAATTTTATAAACACCTATGAAATTCAATTGTGTCTGAAGGAGAACATTTTGAAAAAGGCAATGGCTCTTGCCCAAGTTTCCTGCACTTGAACAGGAGATTAAGGGGACTGGAAAGGAAGTCTGATAATTTTCAATTATGCTTCAATATAAAATTTAAATAATAATGAATGCTTGAAAGGAATAATTTTTTTTAAAATTATGATTTTAAAAAAATATTTAAATAAAATTTAAAACCCTAGCACAAAGTTAAAATTGTGTATGGTGCCATTCTGTTGAGATTTTATTGAATAATTTTTATAAAAACACAAAAGGCTTACTTTTGGGAATAGAAATGAATTTTTAAACAAATAGAGGAATTTTTAAGCATTTTCAATCTCCCCATTTCTTTGACCTTTAATTACTAAACTGTAATAGCACCAATGCTCCATACATGAAAATAATCTTGTCAAATTTGAAAAGTTTTTGCTCATTCAATCCTCAGATATAATGCAAAAAACCAACAAAATTTTGTAAAGAATTTTTTACATTTTTGTGTTCCTGGAGTGTCATAATGTCAAGAAATCCAAAAGCACTGCAGGAGAAAGTCAAAATTTAGTCTATCATACTTTTCCTGTTATATTCTATAACAGCTAGGAGAGTAATTGTATTTCATAACCCATTTACTACGTAATTACTTTAATTTGATTTGAACTGAACTGCATATGTACTGTACTTTTTGAATAATTTAATTTTTCTTTCAGTATGCTCTACCCTATAAGAAATTTCAACTGTTTTGTATATAAGAATGAACATTTGATAATATTATTAAAATAATTAGTTAAATTTCTTATTATTTATGATATATTTTATAAAACACTTTAAAAAAACATTATTATTATCATTATTATTATGTTGGGTTAAGTGGGTTATACTCAATTGACACCGGTGGCTGTGCACTATGCCGGACCAAAGTCAAGGCATAGCAACCAAAACAAAACTAAAATTAAATAAGTGTGTCAGTGTCTGTATTCAGGAATTTCCTAACAATGTGGCATGTATTCAATATAGTGGCCTTCTGTAGTATGATGTATGTGTTTCTATTCAATTCTAATGTTTCCAGGCTTTTGTGTAGTGTGTGTGATATTACACCTGTACAGGAGAGAACGACAGGTACAATAAGCACCCTATCCATCCACATAGATGCCTTATTTCCTGGGCGATTTATGTGTACTTGCTGATTTTTTCACTGCATGTATTTTGTACATTATGAATGTTTGGAACAGATGTGTCTATAATGTATGTGATTTTATTGTGTTTGTCAATGAGTGTGATGTCTGGTCTGTTGCGGTAAATTGTTTTATCTGTGATTATGGCTCTGTCGTAGTACATTTTGTGCGTGTTGTTTTCCAATATTGTCTGTGGAATGTATTTGTAGTATGGTTCGTGGATGTCTACCAATTTGTGTTTCTTTGCAAGCTCTTGGTGTATTATATTTGCTACTTGATTATGTCTGTGTAAATAATCTGTCTGTGCCAAGAGCTTGCAACCAGAAGTGATGTGTTGTATAGTTTCTGGCATGATGTGACATTTTCTGCATGTGTCATTTGCGAGTATTGTATCTTTGAGTATGTGTTTTCTGTAGTTTTTAGTATTTATGACCTGATCCTGTATGGCAATCATGAATCCTTCCGTCTCCCCAAAGAGGCATCCCCAATCTAACCAGCTGTTTGACACAGTTTTGTCAACAAAATCCTGGGCCAGGTCATAAGGATGCCTGCCATGCAGTGCCTTTCGAGCCCACGATTGCTTAATGGTGTCTATGCTTTTTATATGTTGTGTCATGTCTGTATGATGTGAGTGTAAGTTTAATGGTGTGTTATTTGAGTCAGCTAGAGTTACTGCTTTATGTAACTGTGATGTTTCTCATTTCTTGTAGAAAAACTCTCACAGTAACTGTATTTCTTTGTAGTAAAGGTTTATAATGTCAGTCAGACCATGTCTGCCATCTTTATGTGGAAGGGTTAATCTTTCTATGGTAGATTTAGGATGATGATGTTTATGCTTAGTAAGTGTTGTTCTTGTTTTCCTTTGGAGTTGCTCAAAATCTGTGTGAGTCCAATGTGTAACTCCAAAAGAGTATGTGAGTACTGGGACAACATATGTGTTTATTGCTTTAACTGTGTGTTTTGCATTTAACTGTGTTCTGAAAATAGCATTTAACCTACTTTGGTATTCTTTAATTAATCTTTGCTTTATTTGTGTATGTTCTGTTAGTTTGGCCTGTTGGAATCCTAAATANCTGTGTGTTTTGCATTTAACTGTGTTCTGAAAATAGCATTTAACCTACTTTGGTATTCTTTAATTAATCTTTGCTTTATTTGTGTATGTTCTGTTAGTTTGGCCTGTTGGAATCCTAAATAATTGTAGAACTCGCCCTCTTCCATGGATTCAATAACTTCTCCACTTCCAAGTGCAAAATCTTCTTTCTTCAGGATTTCCATCATTCACATATGTTATCAATTCGTAACATCCTAGTTGCCTTTTTCTGTCAATTTTACCCATTATGACAAACCGTAATATTCATACTTGTTTCCTTGTAAAAAAAATCATACTTTGGACATGTAATCAAGATTTTGTACAAGTTAACAGTTTCTTCTAAGAATCTGTTTTCTGGAATACTCTTATTTGTAATCAAATCGGTCCAACTAATCTTTAGCATCCTCCAACAAATCCATATTGAAACACTTCAAATTGTTTTATTATTTTAGCCTTCAGGGTTTAAATATATATATATATAAAAATGGACATGTATGTCCCTATATTTCACTTTTCCGCCAAAACTACACATCGCACGTGAATGGTGTTTGTATGTGGTGGTAGCCCCAAGTCTCCATTCGTGCATAGGGGTGGTTGCGTCTCGATAGCTATAAGGGTGCGGGAGATATGAGGCTGAAAGTGGTTGAAAGTGGCTTTCTATTTCGAATGTTTTGTTCGAATTTGTTCGAATTAAATTCGAACATAAAATTCGAATATTGGTTCGATTATAGAACGATTGTAAACGTTCCAGAAACGTTGAAAATAGTTCGTTTGACTAAACGTAAAAATTCTCTAATTAGTCTGGAAACAGGGGACCTAATTCTTGCATTCTGTGAAAACGGGTAAGATTAGCTATAGTGTAATTATCTTAATCTTCACTATCGTTACTTTTTGCCCAGCGAAGCGGGTTCTTGCAGCTATATTCTAGATTACTTAGAAAAACAGTCTTTTATATATATATAAAAAAACTATATTACATACAAATAAAAACCCAGCGAAGCGGGTCCTTGCAGCTAGTAAAGAATAAAACTGGTTAAACATAACATTTTTGTCTAATTTTTAAACCAAGGTCATTATTGCAAAGAAGACCCTTCATTTTTGTAATTATTTAGCCTTAATAGCCCAATAAAGGAATCCAGCATTTCATTTGATATGTTTAGACTATAATATATTAATTATATACAATATCCCAATTATTTCTTTCAGATATATTAAAAATAATATCTCAAAGGTACAAGATTTTCAAACATTGATGAAATAAAGATGTAATTGTAAGCAGTTTACAGGATTAAGATAAAATAAAAATATAAATTCTATATAGTGTATTGCTAAAAAATTTTTACTGTAGAATATTGTTTAATCAGAGAAAATTACTTCTTATAATCATTCAATTCACCTTTAAGATTTTATTTCTTTTTGCTATTTGAAAAATTCTAATATTAAAGCAAGCAAAATTTTTACCTGTATGAAGCCTCATATGGACTTTCAAACTCCCTTTAGTGGAAAATTGAGAATTACAAACGTGGCAAGTGAAATTCTTTTCTCCCGTATGAGTTTTCATATGGCTATCCAGAGTAGATTTAACAGTAAATGTCCTTCCACACATTTTGCACTCAAAAGGTCTTTCACCAGTATGAATTCTAATATGGCGAACCAAATCACTTGGTTTTTTGAAACTTTTTGGGCAATGTTCACACTGATTGGCATACTTTGGTAATTTTTCCAATTCTGCTTTCTTATCCTTTAAAAAAATTTAATAAAAGATATTTTACTAAAAATAAATAATTAATATATAAAAAAACAGTTATATTTTAATGAGTACTTCATTAAGGACTTTTAACAATATATTGGTCTCTTAGAAATGGTCTTTGAATGCTCACAGCCTGGTATTATACTTTTCTTCTGATAAATTACATGACTAAACTATCAACTTGTGCTTACCAATAAGTTGATTTCATTTAAAGCTGAATAATTCTTTTGTCTTTTTTAAAAGAAATTTATTAGGCTTCTTTTTCATTTTAATATTTTAAATTCAACATTATTTTATAATAACTTCGAAGAAGTAAAACTCATCATCTTCAACACACTAAGTATGGTGGAACCCCATTAATCTGGCTCAAGCAGGACCGGGCCCGATTCGGATAACCAAAAATCCAGAAAAATCATTAATGACCTAAACAACACAGTTTGTAGACTTTTTATTTTATTTTTCAATAGTCTTCTCCGACACAACAACCACTTTCTTTCCTTTAGACATCATTTTTACAGTGTTTACTTTATTTCACAAATGTTTGAAGATGAGTGAAACTTGGCAAAACAATAGAGGCTTTAGCATGTTGAGTGAATAATGACTTGTGAGGTTATGACAATAAACAAACAGCATGTTAACATGTTGACTGCCACGAGAAGCACAGCATTTTTATTCAACAGGAAAGTAGCAATTTTTTAAAATTGAAAATCATAAGATTAGAAAAGGTTCAACAAAATAAATAAATTCAAAGAACACTGCCTCAGAATGCATAACAATGAACAACCTATGCCGATTCATAGGAAATAAGTCTATTCTTGTTACACTCGGGCAAGAATGTATTTAGGAGTTTTTTGATTTTTTGTAATTATTGGTTTTCCATGTGTATATCTTTCTGAGACAGGGTTGGTATTTTATAATCTGGGTAAACTGCAAAGCCGGATTAATGGGATCTGGATAAATGTGGTATCCCTGTATGTATATATCTTTACTTATTTAAATTATGTTGAAAATGCAGAGTTTTACTTCTTCAAACTTATTACAAAATATGTGTTACATTTTTTTAAATAAATATGTATATAAAGGCTTTTCTTATGTGTGCACATGTATAATTTAAATTAGTGTGGATTTTTGTTTGTGTATGTATATATATACACAAACATATACAAACAATGCAAATAAAACATGTTCATGTTGGCAAGTTTTTGGACCAATGTATGTAGTCAACCAGATTGCTGAAAGTTAAGGTGAGTCCATGACTTACCATTAATAATACAGTAGAGCATCGATTATCCAACTTCCGATTAACCGTCACCTCGGTTAACCGACCACGTTCTAGTCAGAAAATGCAAATGTCCGCTAGTGATGTGGCGTAACAATATTTGGCTATGTCTTGGCTACTTTAATATTATTTTTACGTGTTTTAACTGGCAACACTGGATCGACCATGAAAGGGAAACAGTATTTTAATGAGGCTTAATTTTCTAATTTTTAACGATAAAATAGCGACGATTATTATTTTTTAAAAAAATTTGATAGGCTTAACACGGAGGAAAATTCAACGTGAAGTAGGTTAATAGCGATATACTAATATACTAATTACATGGGATATAATAATATACGACACTAATTATGGATTTTTTTCATACTTTTTGGTTATCCAACTTTTCAATTATCCAACCAACCCCAGTCCCCAATTGAGTCACATAATCGATGCTTTACTGTAATAATGATAAAATGTATAACTTGAAGAGTGTTATAACATCTCTCTAATGCCAGAATCAAAACTGAAATTTCCACTAAATACACTATTATTTACTTATTCTGCTTAATTTTATTATTCTGTTATTGTACTCACCTATACTGATAACAGTGTGGATTCTACTCTGTGTATGTGTGTTCATATATATTTATTTAAATTATTTTAAAAATTAACAGACTTGGCTTGCTCATTAAAAGTTGTAGATAAAAATAATAAAACCTTTCCAAGAGTGTTATATTTTAAGACAAACACAAAATTAAAATTGATTATTTTAATATTATTTTCAAATTAAATATGATAGTATAGTTTCTATTGTATGTTTGTATCAGTGCTTTGAATTAAATTGAAAAAAAAAATATATTTTTGGCAATTTAACTGCCATAATTCAATCTTAACAATTACAGTAAGTCCTCACTTAATGTTGCCAATAGGTTCTTGCAAACTGAGACTTCAAGTGAAATTATGGCTAATGATATAAGCAAGAGTTAATTTCCTAGATCATATTTCTGGCCATAAAAACATCGCCAAACTTCTAATTAAAAACCCAAAACACTTCTAATATGAATGATTGAAATGAATGTGAGCTATACTTATCATATTTAAGAAAGATTAATAAAAAGGAGGCTGTGGAGTCAGTACACAAAGTCTCCAACTCTGATTGGGCTGCAATTTGAAAAAATTGTAAATCTATAAACTCCCACTGTCATCTGTCAGTCTGTCTTTCTTTAATCTCAAGAACAAAGTTAGACAGATGAGAGATGGGACCAGATATGAAAACCATAGGGGAAGGAGAAATCAATTAACTATATAAGAACTTCTGATGCAAACTAGAAGTCATATTATTTCAATTCAAAACTTTCTTCCTGAAAGCAGTTAATAGATGACCAGCACAACTCTATTGTTAAAGGAAAAATACGACGTACTGGACAAACCACTGCTAACTTGAGATGAATAGCATATATTTTAAATTAAATAAATTAACATTATGATTAAAAATTGTAGTCCGACATTATGATGATGTAACAATAAATAATTTAAAATATACAGTGGTGCCTCGTATAACGTACGTCTCGAATAACGGACGTTGCGAACAACGGACTTTCTATTTGGCCATTACGTGACTTGAGCAACGGACTGGCTGTGAACAACGGACTTTCCGTTCGGCAGTTACGTTAGGCGAACAATGGACTTTCTGTGAACAAGTGCGAATGACGTTTCCACTCTTTTGCCATTGCCAATGACAATCTGCTATTTTTATAATATATTAGTATTATTAGAATATATTATTAGTATATCTGAAGTACAGAGCTCCCGTTGGGATTCGGCTTGCTCCCTTGTTTATTACGTACATCACCTCAGTGCAGGGTATTTACATTTATTCAAGTGTTGTGCAAATCATGGCTTCTAAAAAAACAGAAAGGTGATTTCAATTGAAACAAAGCAAAGAAATCATCAGAAGGAATGAAAGTTGACAGAAACTTCCTTGTCAAATGGGGAGAGGTTCAGGAGTTTACCAACACTCATTATCCAAACACAGTTGAGGCCAACAGGATCAATGATCTCTACAATGACACCCTTGCCCATCATTTCCAACAGGTGTTGAAGAAGAGAGAGAAACAGACCACTTTGGACATGTTTTTCAAAAAGCCAGCTGTCAAAAGACAAAAGATGGAACAAGAGGAGTTGACCCTGCAAGCCCCAGTAGCGTCTCCTGAATCTGACTCCGATTAAAAAACAATAAAAAGAAACCTGCTGCAATGTGTAAAAAGTCTGTATCTGTATGAATGCGTGAATAAAGTGATCCTCCACCTCCTCCTCACAACATCTGATTACCCGGCATAATTGGTGACTGCTCCATTTTCATTTTTTTTATGGTACAGTACGGTTATTTTGTGCTGCGGAACAAATTATATGTTTTAATATGTATTTCTATGGGAAAATGCGTTTCGTATAATGGACTTTTCACTTAACGGACGTTCACCTGGAACGGATTAAGTACGTTATACGAGGCACCACTGTACTTTGATTATATTAGCCCAGAATGGCATTTCATCATGACCAAGTGAATCATTGGCATTCTTACTGAAACCATTGAAAAATACTTATCTTTCTTTCACAGTTTTTCATTACCACCAAACCACTATCATCATCATCATCTTCAACCACATACTGACACACAAAATGTTTTCCATCTGTGGTTGTAGTAAAGTATTCAAAAACACCAGATTTAATCAGAGGCTTAGCCATTTTGTATGGGTCAAATTGTAATCATATTTTGTTAATAAAAATTTAGTATTAGCTAACACAGGATGTACAGTACAGTGAACTCCTGTATAATGCACTCCCCTATAATGCAAATTTGTATAAAACAACAAAAAATTGCAACTAGTATTCATATAAAATTCTAATTTTGTCACCCAGAGGTATACGTTTCCTTCTTCAACTTCTAGGTCTGGATTTAAACTTGCATAAAACCATCTGATAATGCATGTCTTGATAATGCCATTTCCTATAATATACAACATATTCCCCACATTGTATGGGACTCTGCTGTATTCGAATATAAATTTCTAAAAAGAAAAATCAACTGTAATTAATGATATGCAAAGAAAGATCATGATATAGGGAAACCATCATAAAATAAGTTCTTCCATTACAGGAGGAAGAGACTAACTTTCCTATTAGGTCCTAAAGTTTTAACCTTAAGCAGATAAAGTTTATAATAAAACACAGGAGTTGGAGCCAGTCCATTTTTACTGTCTCTGACTCCACAACCAGAGATAAAGATTGGATCCTGTTAGCAACCTCTGGAATTTATTTTCCATTCATAGAATAACTTTTATTGTATTTATATGAAAAATTCAACAATAATAATTATAAATGATTAGCAAAGAATGCCCAGTATTGTCCAGGAACTCAGGGAGGAGGTTGTGTTGTCCTTGTTACTGATAAAGTATGTTTCCCGCAGGGTGGCAGAGAGTATGTGAAATTTGGTGAAAATCAGCCAAAGGGTTTGGAAATTTGTGGAGGATGAAATTGGGAAGGAGTGAAAGTCCAAGTTTTGAAGTAGCTTATATTTTTTGGAGGATTGTAGAGACTGACTATACATAATTTGTCCAGATCACTCAAAAGGTTTGGGAGTTTGGGGATAGGGATGAAATCAGAGGAGTGAGGGATCTGAGTATTATGGTAGTCCATGTTTCTCATAGGATATAAGAGAGTAACTATGCAAAATTTGGTCCAGGGTTTGTAGGGAAGATGAAATCAGCAGGAAGGAGTGAGGGGTCTGAGTTTTAAGGTAACTTACATACACCAGAAAGAAATATCACAAAATACATCCATGTCTAGGGACCATTGGAAAGATAATTCCAACTTTCTTTTAGGCATTTTATCATCACTAAGGCTCACTCACATATTTATACACCTGAAAAGTAACTGAAAGAACTCAATTTATGTAGGTAGATATCTGATAACATAAGGCTAATTCTTATTTTTAAATAACTGTAGGGTAGGATTAATACTAAAAGAATGAAAATATGAAAATACTATAGGCCTAATTACAAAAGTTTAGTTTCATCTAAAATAAATAAATTCACTCCTTATAGTTGTAAGTATCTGATAACATAGGAGTATTATTATAAAAAACAAACAACCAAGACAACATAAACAAAGCATATAAACAATTACATGAATTGCACGAATCAAAACAAAGACCGAATAGATAAGTTAAAAAGCCCACTGGGTGGCAAAGGGGATTGACCTTGAATGGAGCAGACAAATGACAATGCTGTGGCAAAAACATCTTTCTTGTACAATTTCCTTTTTTAATATAAAAATAATACATATTCCTTCCAGATGAACATAGACTAAGCTTTCCAATAGCAAAAGAATTTAAAAATTGATTCAGTAGATTCCAAGATTGCCTCCAGCAAACAAATAAACAAACATTCTCACTTCATATATTAGTATAAATTACAAATATACTTCTAAGTGAGGATTTGCTGTATTTGTATTAATTCTATTCATTTATGATTACTATTAATACTAAGTTATTTATTTTAAAACTTAGTTTCTAAATGTAATGACCAAAACTTACTTTAATTTCACTGATTCTATTTTTTTCTGCAGCAGATGCAATTAACACCTTCACAGAAATGGAATTTGTATCATCAGGATTTTGTTGGGCAAGTTCATTGGCTTGTTCATCAGAGAGTTTAACTATATTTCCTTTCTTCTTGTTTTTACTATCATCAGCTAAAAATTGCATAAGTTTAACACCTATATTAAATGAATTTTTTTACATTTTCTCAAAAAAAAATATAATTCTTTCAGCTATTTTACCAGATTCGGAGTTCTGACAGTCTTCATGAATTGCTTTCATGTGACGACGATAACTCGTCGGAGTTCGAAACGTCTGAGAGCAATAAGAACAGGTATGGGGATGGTTAGTATAATGAATGGTCAAATGCCTAGTGAGAGAACCACTAGTTGTAAACATTGCATTGCATATATCGCACTGAAAATCTCTAATGCCAGTATGGGTTCGAATGTGGGATTTGAGCGTTCCTGCCGAGATAAACATTCGATTACACAAAGTGCACTTAAATGGCTTTTCTCCCGTGTGGGTACGAATGTGCTGTTTTAAATGACTCGACTTTTTAAATATTTTGTCACAATACGTACATCTGAAATAAAAATTTCATAATTTGTCTTTAAAAGGATTGGAAATTAATTAAGTAATATATTTTAATCAAGAAAGTCCTTAAAAGATTCTATACAATTATTTATAAGATGAATATATTGTGGACAATGAAAAAATGAGAAAAGATTTGTCTAACTTATTAGATGAAGAATGATTATTTTTTGTGATATTTAGTCTGAAATTTCAAAATATCAAATCAAAACAGGATTTCATTCCTTAGTAAATTTGTATTTTTTCAATTAGTTTTTTAGAAACTGGCAATGAAAAACTAAATATATATATATATATATATAAAGGGCTTATAAATCATTTTACTTAGGTATTAAAAATCAATCACATTTTAGCATAGACTTTCTATCTGTTACAAAGTGTCAAAAATATCTACATCAGAATTAATTTATTTATTAAATTTAGTATTCTTATACGCAAGTAAGAGAAAATGAAAGTATACAGAATATATTTTGCCTTTCTAAAATGAACATTTTCAATAAGAATTTTTAAATTTTATCTTATGATGTAAATTCTACCTACAAAAAGTATTCATAAAAAATCATTTTGATAGTTAACAGGTTGCTTATTCAGAAGGCAACAAAGTAACAGCACAATTTTATTTTTGATTTGATAACACTCTAATTTGAACTAAATTCTATGATAATAAGTATAGGTATCCCTCATATAACATGGTAGTTATGTCCCAAAAAAGTGCCATGTTACGCAAATCCATGCTATACAAAACAAAGGACTAATGAAAAACATAAGGTTACCTTACAGAAGTTAGCAAAAGTATATTATTCTTTTTTTGTTACTAAGAGAAATATGTTTATTAAAGCAATCGATTGTTAATTTATTTCCAATCAATAATTAACTATCACAATTAAACATACTGTTATGCATTAATACTAATTTTAGTTAAACCAGGACATTTTCTTTTTACAAAGTATCATTGTCATCTCAACTTCTTGTTGATCTTCATTACAAGTATCAGCAACATGTCATTAATCAAAAATTTGTTCAGTTGAGTATTGAGCAACATTTTTCCAGAATTTGTGTTCTACTACTGATATACCACTGTATTTCATTTGTCATTTTATGAATGATTGCTTACTTACAGTTAAAAAAAGTTTAATAGCACTTATCTAAATATGTTTAAATAAACTTTACTAAATACAAAGATTGTTACTGTGTTTTGTTTTTATAGATTAGTCTTAAGGGCTAAAGTCTGAAAACAATAACAATGACACCCAAGGAAAACCAAGGACAAGGAAGAAAACAACTGGACTATCACTTTTCACTGAAGTAAACCTGATGAAAGGCACAAAATTTGAAAATTTCAATATTTTAAAATCCATACGCAAATTTGGGACAACACACATTTACTTGAGAAAATAAATAAATAAATATCAAATTACGAAGTTTACACTTAAAAATTGTGAAATTTTGTGTAGAAGATTTCCAAAATTGTGTTAGCATTAAACCAGAAGTTATGTTGTACGGGTGATATCCCCAATTTTCAAACCATGTTGTAGAAGTGCCATGTTGTATGAGGGATACCTGTACTAATAGAACATATTTCAATTAATATGATACTTCATATTGAGAGTAATGGTTACTGATAGTAATTTTAATTTTTTTTTAAATTACTACATCCTTCATATTTTCAGATTAAACAGAATAATTAAAAGGAAATTCAATAAGGATTATTAATGAGATTTATGTATTGTCTTAATAGTGTTATGGAGTAAAAAATTCCGATTTGCTCAATTTTAGAAAACTATTTCATAAAGTTTAATCTAATCCACATAAAAGTGCTTATTATCACAACTGATAACACCATTATGTTAAAAAGGAGAAGTGCTTAAAATAGAATCAACTCAATATACTTATTTTGTTAACAAATATTGGCATAGAATATTAGAATAAATTCTCAAAAAAAAAAAAAAAAGGCAAACTATCATTATAGATTTAATGATCTAACTATACTTAATTAAGCCATATCTACAGTTTGACTGGTTTTGAGCAAGTACTGTTTGTAGTCATGTTATTAAGTCAAGTCAATATTCATAACAGGTCAAAAAGTTAAATTTCTTAATTAAAATATACTAGTTTCCTTATATTATAAAACATTATGATATATTAATAAGATATCAATGTATCAGGCTCTTTCAATATCAATATATAAGGATACTGGTATATCTGGAAAAAGAGAGAGAGAGAGAGAGAGAATCTACTTTAAATAAGGGAAAATGTTTCTTAAGTATAGATTCTCAAGCTGCCTGGCTGCCCCATTGTAAGCCTGGACAAGCCATGACAGGCTCAATAAAAAGGCCCTCTTGGTGCCTGCAGGTGGAAAGAATCAAAAAATAAAATAAAATAAAACAGATAAAAAACTAATAAGGAACTAACTGGAACAGTCTCCTTCCTGCCTTATTTTCTACTTGCTGGATTTCTCCTAATGGTTTCACTGCTTGTTTCTCAGTTGGGACAGATTGAAGAGTGGCATTCTGATCATTCTGCGATTGCTGTGGCAGAATATTTGTCATGCTAGTTGTTGCTAACCCTTCACTTATCAGGGTAGTTGCAGTAGTAAAATTAGTGGTGACATCTAACACATCACCCTAAAAACAGAATGTATTAAAAACGTATTTGAAAACTATTATAGATATTCAAAAATATAATATTGTTAATTCTCTGTTAAATTCATATACAGCAGACTCCCATACAATACGGAGATATGTTCCACATTATAGGAAATTGCATTATATGAGACATGCATTAACAGACAATATTATGCAAGTTTAAACGTATCCCTGAGTTCCAGCACTGATCACATATTGCTAATGAGATGTCCATTAGTGTCAAACATAATTTTATTGTGTGCAGTGTGTAAAAAAGAATAAACAAATCAGAATACAGATAACAGTACATAATATTTTGGATAAGCTGAAATCTCGTGTTAAAGTGGTAACTATTATTAAAGAACTTACAAAAGTTAACAATTCAAATAATACAACATGAGAGCAAAATACAAGATACAATGTCTGCTTCATCTTAGTTGTATATTGCAGGAAATTAGTTAAAATATATTTAAAAATGTATATGTAATTTAAAAACCATCAAAAGGGAAGGTACTTTTAAAAAAAAAAATCGCTGGTCTTTTCATCAGTCCTGTTTTTATTATCATCAAAAAGATTTACTTACACTATATGCATTTTGAACCAGATTTTCAAATGATTCCTCTTCAGTAGACAATACAGAAGCACAAAGTAAGTAACACAATTTAAACAGACTAACATACAAAAGTACCAAGATGAAAAGATCAGAGAGATTTTATTTTTTAAAAGCACCTTTCTTTTTGGAGGTTTTTAAATTACATACATATTTTTTAAATTTACTTCATCTTTATTAGATTCAAACAGAATTGCTTGTTTAAAAGATATGTTAATGCCTAAGTTGGAAAAATGTTTGATAAATTAATGATTTCTACTAGAGAAATATACCTTTAATAGTCTTGCCATAAAACAGAAGGCAATCAAGGTATACCAATATTTAATAGATTCTGAGTCCATTTCTTCTAATGAATTACATAAATGTAAATTTAAAGCCATTACAGGATGGTTTGACAGATTTAAGATGATATTTTGTTTGCGTAATATGAAAATTATTAGCAAAAGTGTAGAAGCATCCCATAAATTTTATGAAATTTTCTCTAAAATTATAAAGGAAAGGGATTATTTAGCAGGACAGGTCCATAATGCCAATGAATTTGCCTTATATTGGAGAAAATTTCTGAAAAAACATATATTTTGAAAAATGAGTCTTCTGCTTCTGGCTTCAAGATGTCAAAGGACAGGATAACTGCAACAGGATAGCATGCTAATGCAGCTGGAGAATGTAACAAAGCCAATGTTAATCAAACCTTAAATACCCCTGAAATGAAAAAATTGACAAATCAACTGTTTACTGAAAACCAAATAAAAAAGCACAGATGAGAGGTGAAATGTTTCAAAATTGGTTTTATAACTGCTTTGTACCAGAGGTTGAGGATTATTTACAAAAAAAAAAATATGTTTTAAAGTTTTATTATTAATCAATAATGCATTGGAACATCCTGAAAATTTAAATCATCATAATGTTAAAGTGACTTCTCTTCCACCCAACGCAATATCAATTCTTTAACCACTAGACCAAGGATGGTATTCTGGTCACTTATCTCTCGTCTCTTCTTTCAATGACAAATGACATCAAAACAGTGGCGATTCTGGTCACTTTTAACAATCTCGTCTTCGTCAATGGCGTCACAATACTATTAGGTTGATTATACATGTTCGGGTTATCTGTGCACGCTATGGTATAGAATTTTAACCAATGAAATTGTAAAATTTTCAAAAATGCATAGATCACGTGGCAAGGAAAGCATGTATTCAAATAAAGCACATAATTTGACGAACTTGTTTATTGTTTTATAACGTTTTTACAGATTGTAATGTAAATTTGTCTCTTAACAAATTAAAATTTTAATAACCTAAGTTAGAAAAGCGTGCATACTTACATATTTTTCAAAATATTACCATCTAATTTCTCCTTAACTACCTAAGATTAACATCATAATCAATAGTTCAGTAATTAATGTAGGATAATTAAAAAAAAAAAAAAAAATGGAATCAGTGGCGTTTCCGAATAGGCACTGGAAAAAAATCAGAAACATTTTCTCTCTTGAAATATTCTTTCCTGAGATAGAGAATGTTTTGTAATGTGATTGTACAGCATGAGTAGCATTCAGTTGTCCATATTGGATATAACAAAATTGAGGTGAAAGACGATAGACCAGTCAAAAGACAACTATCCGTTTGTCTCTGATAAACGAGAGAAGCAAAGAGAGAAAAAGTTGTCCAGAATCACGTTTAGAGAAACACGATGATCTCTCAAGACAAACAGTGACCAGCTTGTGAGAGACGACAGATGAGAGATGATGACCAGAATATGGCCCCAAGGCATTATAGAGACATTTAAAACTTATTATATGTATTGCATATTTGAAATGATTTTACAAAAAATTGACTGCAATTCAAGTTCTGCAAATATGGAAAAAAATTGTCAATATTAAATTGGTAGAAGTAATAAACCCATCTCTTAAAAAATTGAAATCTTTGACCCTCAATGCCTGTTGGAAAAAGTTATGGCCAGATATTGTTACAGCAAATTCTTCAACTTCATCAGAAGCAGATATAAATTGCATAATAGCTGCTGGGCAAAGTATCAGTGGAGAGGGATTTGTTGACCTGAATGAGATAGATATCACTAAATTCATTAATTACAACAAAGACATCGATGAAACAAATTAATAGAATTAGCACATTGTTCTAATTCTAGTAACGATAACAATAACTCATTCCTAATTTTTAATGAACCAGAGTAACATTTGAGTTTAGAAGCTTTAAATAATGGGTTAGAAATAGCCAAAATGCTAGAAACATATTTTATGAAAACTGATCTGTCAACAGACACTCTATGGAATTAAACAATTATTCAATTTTCTTTTAAATTCCACATTTTCAAGCTAAAAATTATCTGGAAAAAGAATTGTGTTTAAGTAACAAGAATAATAGTATATGAAACTATGGACTCTTCCAGTAATGAATCTATACAGCCAATACTAAACAAGTTAATGTCATTGGAATTTATTTGTTGAAACTTCTGATAGTAAATAAATGTTAAATAGTAAAGTATTTTTGTTTTAATCAAAAGTTGAATAAAATTATTTGCCCTTATATCTTTAAATGTGCATATGAAAGATGTAAAGATTTAGCAAAAAAATAATAACTATTAGCTTACCTATTGTTTATACAGGGTGTTTATAAATGAATGGTGTGGTTTTAAAAATTAATAATAAATCTATTTATTATCTTATATGGGCAAACCTTATAGAATAAGCAGCAGCAACTGTCCAAGTTTTTTATGCGCTACCCGCTCTTTGCTTGTCATGCACTACAGACCATCACGGAGGACATGCTACACCACGTATGGGAAGAATTTGATTATCGTATAGATGTGTGACGTGTGACCATGGGTACACGTATTGAAGGATTGTGATTAATGTATAAAAAATTTGGACAGTTGCCACTGCTTATGCTGTACGGTTTGTCCATATAAGGTAATAAATAGATTTATTATTGATTTTTAAAACCGCACCATTCATTTATAAACACCCTGTATATACACAGTAAAGTGTATGCATTTTGCATTTCTAAACAAAAAGTCAAAGTATGTCAAGTGTTAAATTTAACCGATACATTATAAGGGCTGTTTATAGTATTGTATGAGAGTACTAGTCGCAATTTTGTCATCGCGTTATATGAATTCGCATTATACGGGAGTTCACTGTAAATTGTCTTTTAAAGCAATAAAGAAAAAAAAAAAACCCAAGATTTTGGTTTAAAGAATTAATAATTTACTTACTTGTAATGTATACTGGTTTTGTGTAAAACTTCCAAAAGATTGAGTAAAAAAAGTATTCTGTCCTTGATCAAATCCAGTTGTTTGTGTCTGATCAAATCCTGTATTCTGTGTTTGGCTTAAATTGGTTTGCTCCAAATCAGTTGTGAGATTTCCTTGGTTATCAAATACTTGTTGGGTAAATGTTTGTTGTAACTGTTGTAAATTTTCCTGTAAATATATGAAATATATAAATCTTTGTTGGATGGATGGCTGAGGCAGCAAAGATGTTGGCCTGCCATTCTGGAGGACCTAACATAGAATCAACAGAGAACATCAGAAATTTTTTATGTATAGTCTGGTCCCTTATATCTTGGACTCTGTTCCTTGCCACTTGACCAAACCCTTGATGGGCCTGGAAAAAAGTCCTCTTAGTGTGTACAGGAGGGGAAAAAAAAGTCAAAAATGGGGAAAAATATTTAAATTACAAGAAATTTTTTCCCACTAATTCTAGCTCTTTATTTTTATATTTTAGATATATATTTATTAATTACATAACATTGTTAATCAAACTTTTCTATCATATTTATAAAAATAATTAGATATAGTTATTATATAGTGTTTGCACTTGAAATCATTTAAAAAATCATCTCATAACTGTATTTATCTGCAAGTTTTATCAAAAAAAGTATTGTTACTTGAAAAACTTTATGAAATCAGAAAATTAAAACATTACCTGAGATAATGTAACTTGAGTAGTAAATGGCTGGGTACCTAAAGCTGTATTATCTTGTGTTTCTAAAGTTGAAATGTGTGTCTGCTCTGTATCATCTCTTTGTGTATCATCATCATTTGCAATTTCTGCCAAATTTCCAATGATGTGACCTGTTAAATCCTGTCCGTCGGCATGCACCATATCTACTTGTGTTTCTGCACCAGTTTCTGGAACTACGGTTACTGTGACTCCTGAGGCCGCTCCTTGAGAAGCTAATTCGTGACGATGCGTTTTCATATGTTTTTTGCAAGTCATTGATGTTTTAAAAGTTTTTTGACAGTATGGACACATGTAAGGCCTCAATTCACTATGAATACACATATGCCTTTTCAAAGAACCATTAGTAGTAAATGATGAACTACAGACAGTACATTTGTATGCTTTCACACCGGAATGAGTCCTAATATGTGCTTTAAGAACTCCATTTGATACAAATGAACGACAACATTGAAGGCACCTATAGGGTTTCTCACCAGTATGAGAGCGGATATGCTGTTTTAAATGGCTCGATTTCTTAAACCCTCTAGAACAATATGTACATTTATATGGACGATCTACATTATTCATGTCATCAATGTAAGTATTATAAAGACCATTACTTTTTGGTGGTTGTTGAATTAAACCATTGTCGGTAATAAGAATAGGTTCTTGTAAAGGAATGTCTGGCAAAGAAACACTCTCTCTCATTTGAGGTTTTTGAACTCGTTTTGATTTTTTTTGTTGCATGCAATTTTTTAAATGAGAAAGTTGATGACTCTTTCTGTGTCCTGAAGTTCTAAACTTTTTGTCACATTGATTGCACGAAAAAGGTTTGGCGCCCGTATGTAACCTTAAATGAACTTTTAGACTTCCTTGAGTAGAAAACATTTTTTTGCACACTTCACAACAAAACTCTTTTATTCCGGTATGAGTACGAGTATGAACGGTTAATGTACTTTTAACAGAAAAGGCACGAAAGCACTGATTACATTTATAAGGTTTTTCATGAGTATGGATGCGAATATGACGAACAAGATCACTTGGTTTTTTGAATTCCTTACTACAATAAACGCATTGAAGCCACCTAACACCAGCTACTTTTCTTACAACAGGTTTCTTTATAATATCAAGTAACGAAGGGTTTTTCTGTTCAGTTTTATTTTTATCTTTATCTTTATCTGTTGGAACTGATGTTGCTAATCCACTATTTTCTAATGCTTGTTGTAAAATATCTGCACTAACGTTACTATTTTCGGCAATTTCTTGAATTTGCTGCTGTGCTTGTTCCGGAGTAACCATTGTTTGTTTAGATAATTCTAAAAGTTGTTGTATCACTTTTTTCATATTTTTACTTTCTGGATTTGTTCCATTTTCCACAGCATTTTCGGGTTCTTCTTCCTCTCTTGATGGTAATACTTCTTCCGCATGCATCCTACTGATGTGGGCATTCAAACTACCTAATTTCTTGAAAACACAAGTGCATTCATCACATTGATACAACACCTCTTTTCCATCCTTCATGAGAGTATGAACACGTTTTATATGGGCTCTGAGATTTCCACGTTGAGAAAAGGCTGCAGGACAAAATTCGCACTGATGTGGACGTTCTCCACTATGTTTAGTCATATGAATATGGAGCGCACCTTTCTGATTGAATGCTTTGCTGCAGACATCACATTTAAAAGGACGCTCCCCTGAAAATAAAATTGTTTTATAAAACATAATAAAATTTATTATTATTTTCAAAGAAATAACTCACCTGTGTGTATACGAATATGACGGAGTAATTGACTGGGTTTTTGGAATGGTTTTCCACACGTCTGGCATTTGTGCATGAAAGTTGCACGATTGATATTCCTTTTGTAAGTTCTGTGCGATAATGATGCCCTATAAAATTTAGAATGTTTAATATTTTATACATTATCAGAGAATTAACAAATCTGACTCACAATTAGCTTTGATTATGTTACTTTTAAATAATACATCTCATTAAATTTAAACCATTTTCAGTACAGAAATAATAATAATAATAATAATAATAATAATAATAATAATAATAATAATAATAATAATAATAATAATAATAATAATAATAATAATAATAATAATAATAATAATAATAATAATAATAATAATAATAATAATAATAATAATAATAATAATAATAATAATAATAATAATAATAATAATAATAATAATAATAATAATAATAATAATAATAATAATAATAATAATCTTTATTTGTCGTAATAGGCTTTCGCCTGTTACAAGGGCGTTTAGTTTTACATAAACGCGTATTAATTTAACATCTCAATTTTTTTTCGTCTTATTAACATTAATATATTCTATTTGCTAATTTTTAAATTTACATTAATATTTTGTTACAATTTTCATTTAGTAAATTGTTTAACATAGTTATATAACATATAAATCGTGTTAGTATTAGCTCTGTCAAAAGTCTTAAACATTTTCATCTCACTGTTACAGTTGACTAGCGGTTGCATTTGGAGCCTTTGTATTTTATCTTTTTCATTACAGCATTCACATATAATATGAACTCTAGATAAAGGTTTAGTACAATTTGGACATTTAGATTGGGTATAGTCTATATATTTATCATTTATAATTATTCCGTATTTATTTAGCCTAAGCTGTATAAAAAACTTTTTGATGTTAAAAGCTAGATTTGTCAATATATAGTTGTTATTTACAGGATAATTTAAAATTGTTGCATACCAGCTTGTATTTTCTCGTTTTCGTATATCTTCCACGTCTTGGATAATAGAGTATTCCATAACTCTATGTATTATTTCTTTACTATATTGCTCTATATCATAATTACGATCCATAACCAGTTTAATAGAAAATCCATATTTATTAACTATCTTCGATAACTGAATTATCCAACTTCGTCTTAAGTCTGTTTCCCTTGATTTGTGATGTAGTAAGAACAGCAATTTTGTTGTTATATCTTCAGCCTTAATAATTTTTTGTAAAAACTTTAAATATCTTTTTATTAGTATAGTATTTATTCTGAATCTATGTGTTTCTAATCTTAAGGCACTACCCGGGATATTGTATTCCAGCTGGAATATCTTACGTATGAATATATTCTGTATTTTCTCAAAGTCATTAAATTTTTCCATGCTCCAAATTGGGGCAGCATATCCCATTGAGTTCATCACAATCGAATTAAATAACTGAAAATGTATACGTATGTTCTTTATTTTTGTCTTGCAGAATAGACCAATTAAATTATTTATTGCAATTTTTGCTTTACTTAGTGAATTTTTATAATGTTTTTCGAACGAGAGATTAGGTGTGAATGTAACTCCTAAAAATTTAATTTCCTTCACTATCTTCACTTCTTCTTTATTAATGAAGAAAGACATGTGCTTTTTGGATACGTTACTTCCATTTCTAAATATCATAATTGTTGATTTTTTGGAATTTATTTTAACTCTTAGCTTTTCTAAATACTCACAGATTTGTTGGATTTTTCTACGGAGAGCAGCTGCTGTAGGAGCTATCAACACAATGTCATCGGCATACGATATAGTATGTATTATCTGATTTTCAATTTGAAACCCATCTTCATCTCTTTTAAAGCATTCATTTAGATCAAATAGGTAAAAATTGAAAAGATATGGGGATAACGGATCACCTTGTAGTAAACCTCTGTAAGTAATGAATGGTGTCCAGATATTAGTATCCTGTTTGATAATTGTTTTGTATTTTCCGAATAACAATCCTATCATATTTATCAAGAGTTCTTTTGCCTTGTATCTCTTCATTTTACTCTGTAGATCGGTAATACTAATCATATCGTATGCTTTTTCAAGATCCAAAAACAGGGCAAACACTTTATGTCTTTTTTTGAGCAACTGGATTTGAATTAATGACAGCAATACAAAGAGGGCTGTCTGAGTACCTCCCCCTTCTACAAATGCAAATTGTGTATTATTTCTATAATTATTCGCCGCTGTCCAGTAATTAAATTTGTCAGCTAATACTCCAGTAAATACTTTACGTAGACAGGACAGAAGGGCTATTGGTCTGTAATTGGTTGGTTCTTGTTTGTTCCCTTGTTTAAATATCATAGTAAAAATAACTTCGTTCCATTTTTCCGGTATTATACTATTACTATAGAATTGATTAAATTGTCTAGTTAAATATCTTATGATTTCTATTGGCAACATTTTAATGATTGAATTTGGTATTATGTCCGATCCTGGAGTTGATTTGTCTTTAAGATTTTTGATACAATCCTGTACTTCTTCTATCTTGATTATCTCATCTTGCTGAATTTCTGGTCTTGTTTTAGTTCCTATATATTTTTTACAAACATTTTTCTGATAGTTCTCAGAGAATTTATTGTAGTATTTAAGCCAAATGTTATATTCTACTTTAGTCTGTTTTTCCAATCCTAACTTTCTTTTACGAAAACTATTAATTATTTTCCAGAAAACTCTCGAATCATTAGCTTCTGATAGTTTCTTACTGATTTTTGAAAAATATAATTTTTTCTTGGCTTTAATTAGATTGTTATACATTTTTTTATATTTTAAATAATTCATTAGTGCTTTACTGGTATTTGTTCTTCTAAAGATTTGTAAACACTTTTGTTTTTTAATTTTATAGCCATAACATGTACTATCGTACCATTCACATTTGAATATTTTACCATTTTGTTGTATACAATTTTTGTATCTATATTCCTCTAATTTTGTTATAATACTCCGATAATTTTCTATTGGATCATTTTCTTTTTCCAATGATAACATCTCTCCAATCATATCATCAAATTTATTCAAGATTTTTTGTTTATTATATGATGGTCTTAATTCCAGATTAATAGAATGACTCTGTTCACAATTATATATATTATTACTTATTTTCTCATATATTGTTAACTCTAACTGAATAGGAAAATGATCTGCAATGTCGTTTTCTAGAACCTTCAAATAGTTACAACAATTTATCATTTCTTCTGAGCAGATAATGTAATCTACTATAGATTTCCCACTTGGAGAGACAAAAGTAATTTCTGCAGGGGTGTCACCTCTCATTCTACCATTTAGAATTATTAGTTGGTTATTATCAATAAATTCTAAGAGTGCTCTTCCCCCTGTGTTTAACACTTTATCTTTGGATATTCTCTTATTGACTAAATTTTCAAACGTCTGACAAAATATGGTATCAGTAACTTCACCAATACGTGCATTTAAATCACCACCTATTATCCACATTTGTGTCAGATTAGACCATCTATCCAAGACCTTTTGTACTTCATTTAGAATTGGTTTCTTCTCAATAGAAGGTGGTATATATATTCCTATTACTCCCATATATGTGTATGACCATCTCATTTTTATTTTATTCTCTAGTTTTATTATTACAGCAATAACATGGTCCGTTGTATATTGTAAAAATATTTCACCAAATCTTTTCTTAATTAGTAGTAGAATTCCACCTGATGGACGTCCAAATTTATTTTTTCGTTGAGCATTACTAATTATTATATTATTGTCTTGTTCTAGATATTTTATTTCCATTTCACTAAATTTTATAATCCAGGTTTCTAAAAGTCCAATTATTTCATTTGAATCCAGAAATTCTCTTATTGAGGTTTTAAATAATTTCCCTCTCAGTCCTTGAATATTCCAGAAGTTTATCGTCACTTTATTTTTTACCCTTCTTGGAGTTTCTACTTTTTTCTCATTCAAATCATTTATTTTGACTATTAATTTATCTCCACTCATTTTCTTATTATTATTCTCCATATTATTAGCCAATTTCCTTTTCTTCTGTATTGTTTTTAAATTTTGATTTATTTTTGTTAATCTTGTATTATATTTATCTCTAAAAAATGATTTAACTGAATTATTTCTTTGGTATTCAAATCATATGTATACATTATATTATTTTTTAAAAAATAATCATCTCTAATTTTTATCTTATCATCCGATTTCTCCAGTTTAATCATTTTTAATAATAATTTTCTCCTGATTCTAGATCTATAACATAAGTCCGTTGATATTATTATTTTTTTATTTTCGTCCGTCATTTTCGGTCTTGTAGTCCAAAATTTATTGAGAATTAGATTTCTGTCTTTAACCGATTCGGTCATAACTTTAATTACTTGGTTATTTCTTCTATTTCCTATTTGAATAAGACCTTCGATTTCTATACCATTAAGCTCTAAGTTAACTTTTATAAATTTTTTAAATTCTTCTACATATTCCGAGGTTTTAAATGGAAAATTAAATATAATTAAATTCTTCTTAGTTCTATCGTTTATCATTTTGTCAACTTCAAAATCCACCATACCTTTTAACTTGCTGTACGAGTCTGTTCTTTCTTCTAATAAACGTATTTTTTTACACATATCTTTCATCTCTTCCTTCAGCTTTAAATTTTCTTCGTTCATTTTGTTGATTTCAGCTTTTATGGAACGGATTTCGGAATTCAAACTATCAAATTTATCTTGGATTAATTCATATATCGATTTAAGTGAGTATTCAGGTTCAATAGTCTTTGTTAGTAAATCTTCTTCCGGTTCGAAGAAGTCTTTTATTGTAGCATACTTCGAGATATCAGTAGTACTCTTGGAGTGTTCCTCAATTAAATATTCCTCTTCTGACATTTCGCTTGTCTGATTATTTTCTTCTATATTTCTTGTATGCTCTCTACGTGGTCTCCCTCGTCCCCTTTTTTGCATAACTGCTTGACTTGGTATTGGAGGAGATCGAGGGAAAGGTCCGGGATTTAACTCAATGCCAGCAATCATTAGTAGAATAAAAATTATTATTCGAGTTAATGAAACATTTAAACAACTTATTTCAGTTCTACACTTAATATTCCGTTGTAAAAAATCCATGTCTAACGTCGCCATAACAGCTCAGCAAAAAAAGTCACCAACACCTCCGCAGGCTAGACACGCCCCTTTCCATTTTCAGTACAGATGGATTAATCCATATTTATTTATAACTAAAAGTGATTTTTTTAATGACTTTTGAATTCACTTTGATAAATAAACTAAATAAATAAATAAATATTTTTTACAACTCTGAAGAATAGTTTTAACACTTTTAAAACAATTTCATATCACTTCATCACTAGAATAATTATAATAGATAGAATATTAATGCACCAAATTATTTTCCAGGCTATAGGATAGAAATAATTTAATTTATTACAGAATTTTGATTGGAGACAATTTAACTACAGTATAAATATTAATTTATACACTATTTGATTAATTTGTAACCCATAAACAATCTAATTAATGGTAAATAATAAGTCAAATACTCAATTTATCACCAATTCTGGGTCAAGCTGATTTGTATATCTAAAATATTCTAATTATTATCATGTTTCAAGCATTTAATATCTAAATATAACAGCATTTAAACATATTAATAGAAGCTTAAATGACTATCTTTCAGTTTTTATTTAAATTACACTAATGAATTTATCAAAAATTAGAAATATAATATGGCAAAATATATTTACATTTGGGTTAACCAAGTTCAGAATGTTTTCAATAGTTTCTTGTATTAAGAGAAATAACTAAATATCCTCACTCACATAAAGAAATGCATACAAATTCTCTTAGCCTTCACAGAATTATATAAATGCCATACAAAAATTCTTTTATTCTACAAATTTATTTTATTCTACTTCAACAAAAATGTTTAATATTTTTAATTTTTAAAAAGTTTAAAATACTATAATTCATATTTTAGTAATTATTATTGTAATTATTTAGTAATTATAATGCATGTATCATTAATATCCTTATCACAATTTAATATCTTTATACTTGTAAAAAATAAATAACTCTCCTCATTGATGATTAAATATTAGACAGAAAAGCTAAGCATATTTATTGATATCTTTGTAGATATAAATATATATATAAAGTATGCCGAGAATCTCTTGATCAATATTTTTAAAGGCTGTTATGTTTCATTTCATATTAAAATATTATATACAAATGACATAACTTCACCTATTTTCAATGTAATCATCAAACTGGTTGAGATACTTGTCCCCATTATAATATAATGGCTATGTCACTGGGTAAAAATCAGATGGCTTTCTTCTCAGACATATGTACATTTTAGACCAGGATTCTACAAAAATTCCAAATACCCAGATGCTATATCCAAAATCTAAGAGCCAAAAGGGCAACAATAAAAAAAGTATACTGTATATGTAGTAACTATAACTATACTTAAAACAATTATGAAACTAACTAGCAAAATGCATAATTACCACATGCTCATTGTTTTATATTCTACATGTAAAGATAATATATGACTTACACATTAGAAAAATTTGGAAATAGCAATTTAAATATCTGTTTGAACTGTTATGAACTGTGTCATGAAATCCACAAGTTCTAAGTCAATTGTTCATTTGTCAAGAATATGATAATCTCTGAATCATCTTTAGTAAAGTTTCATAATAATGAGTTTCCATAAATATTTAAATTTCTCATCATCAAATGAAATTGGAAATAACATACTTAATATATATTTAGTTCTATTATAAATCATTATGTTGTTAAAGGTTTAAATAAACATGAATAAAAGCAAAGTCTAATGTATTTAAATTTTGATACAGTATAATGAATCATGATCATATTTTTAAATCTATAAGTAAAAATTATTTCTGTCTTTATGTTGTTGAATTTTGTAACTTCAGTAAGGAGATTCTTGATAACTTTAAATTGTCTTTCTATACATTTAGTATATTGTCCAAAAATAAGCCAGATATCTCATACTAAAAATCAAATTTGATAATCAAAAGCTATTTTTAATGAATACTAAAATGTACATATTTATAAAACAGTAGAGTGAAGTAAAAATCAAAGCATTAACATTTAAATTTCTTCAATCTTTGAAGCATTTCCAAGATTTTGTTGCAGACCATTAGATAAAAAACACTAATATAATGCATCATAAAAGTGTATTAATGTGTATCAATGTATCAATGCCATGTACCATGTATCAATACTGATTTAAAATTGCAAGAGATTAGTAATAAATATCATAGACAGATTTTGGATTCAGTATTTACAATTAAATCTTTTAACTAGTATCTCAAAGATAAATTTCTACGATAATATTACATTTAAAATATGAACTTTTTTTATTGTAATTTTTTCCTCAAACAGAAAAAATAATGTCTTCTCTTACTTACTGACATTCCAATTTGGTACACTTTAATTTATATATCAATAAAAACTGTAACTAATTGCATGAACTGATGATAAAGCAAACTTTTTAATAGACTAATTAATTTTCAGGTTTTTAAAAATAATTTGTATCTTCTTTCTGAATAATGAAAAACAAATTGCAGTTTAATGCATACTTCTGCAATATTATATTACAGAAAAGAGCATACTTGCAATAACTGAATGTCTGACTGTCTATATAATAATAATGGAAAGATATTTCAAAGTTTATTTCTAATTCATATTATTACACAAAACATAAGGTCAGTAAAGTAAATAAAAATCATGCTGATAATACTCATGCTCCTGTTACAAGCTTTAAGATAAATTAAATAGTTAATACATATTTATTTTAGTTTGAAAATCTTTTGGTTATAACTTTAAATTCAAGAAATCCTTTCACTAAAAACTAATGTTTTTAGTCGACAATAATGCAGTGATAACAATATTTGTAATTACAATAAGTGTATATTGTTGTTTAATATTAACAGAATTAACAGATTCTAAAATATAGAAATTAAAACACTCAAAATCTTGCTTATTGCAATCAAAAATCTGAGTTATGGATATCATTGTTCTCATGTAAATAAACTTTCTTAAGTGTCATTTCAAATTACCAGCCTCAATATATGATCAACAAGGGGCAATTGTTATCAATCTTAACCAGAATTTTAAACATTAATCATTTTTAATTGTTATTTGGTTACAGTATTTTCTGTAACTAAATAACAGTAAAAATACAGTATTTTCTGTAACTGGAATTTCTTTCTTCAATTTTGTATGGATAAATTACTAATTAAGAAATCTTCAAGTTATGTTAAAACAATTAAAAAATGTATATCTTTTCAGATTAATAAATCCAGAATTTCTACTAATTGCAGTCTTATTTACTTCTCTTGCTTAATGTTATCTGTTAGTTATTGTTAGTCAGTTATTTGTACAGAAGAGAACCAAAGTAATTACAATAAGTATAACCTACTGCATATTAATAAATGCATTATGCAACTTGCAAATAATAATAAATTATCACAGTTTTCTTCAAATTGACTGAATCAAAAATTATAATTTGCACTATTTCTATTTGGTACAAGTGTTATTTGCAAAATCTGATAAGATTATTATTTATGGATATGATAGCACAATGTTCATAATTAGATATATAAGCCACATTTTAGTTGCTGTTGCTCTTTTTTTCTGTAAAAAGAATCAGATAAATTTAAAGCTTTATTTTTTTTATCATAGTATGTCATAAATATAAATAATTTATGTATAGACACATTGTTTATGTATGTTACATAAACTAAAAATAATTACTATTTTGATAAAGTAAAAGATAAAATTAAGGTTTGATATTTATTTATATAACTACATTTTAAAGTTCAAGTCTTGATTCAAGTTCAATTATATATTTTCCTTTAAAGCTAATAAAGAAATCTATTATGCACTGTTTAAATTACAACTCTTAAGATAACTCAAATATAAATCATTTAAAGAGATTTGCAACAGTTTGAAACAAAATATTTTTTCATTTTGATTAGTTTATATTATATAAATACAAAAATAAAATAGTTATATATATTTTTTAGTGGAAATCAAGAAATATTTTTAATAACTAAGTCTATAACATATAATAAAAGTAAATTACATTTTAAACTATTATGTATAGCAAACAGTCAAAATAAATTTACGTGACTATGCTGGACTTAATGGTTAATAAAACTATTTTAAAGATAAAACAGTTTTATTTATTTTTTTAATAAAAAATAAAAAGAATTACTTACTTTAATTTATAATGTACTTTCATGTGATCTCGTAAATGTGCCGCTTTGGAAAATTTCTGAGCACAAAGTTTGCAAGGATAGGTCTTTTCTTCTGTCATTTCATCACAGTGTACTTGCATATGCTTATCTAAGTGTGGCTGACAATAATACATATTAATTCATTATGTAAATAATTAAAATTTGAATAGTAATTTATTGGATAGTCTCTTTTATACAGAAAATTTAACACTACCTGTGTACTAAATTCATCTCCGCATTCAGGACATTCTAAGTTCTCTTCCTTCTCGTGTAACATTACATGAGCCTTTAAGCTGGCAACTCTGGAAAATTTCTTTCCACATTCTGGACAAACAGGATCAGAGGTACAATGAGTTGCTTGATGAAGAAGTAGATTTGATTCCAAATTGAACGATGCATCACACTGATCGCACCGGTGAGGTTTATCATCAGCATGTACCTTGCGATGCCTCTGTAATTGTCCCCATTTTCGAAATTCTCGATCACATGAATCACATTTAAATGGACCCTAAACAGTCAAGTTTGCAATTAATATAAAATATAGATTTATTAGCTTAATGTATAACCTTAATATTTGTCATTTATATCAAACAATAATATAATTGAAATTATTTGTATTTTGAATGACAAATATACACTGTGTATCATTTCTGACTAATAAAATTACAACTGAAAATTCATAATAGTCAACAAATATTTTATAAAGAAATAATACTGTTAATTTGTTCATGTTTAACTTCAATCAAATTAGTAAAAATAAACTTTTCACCTTTCTTGAATTTTAATCTATCACTTATTTAAATATTGATCTGAAAAAGCAAACTTTTTCCAATATTTAATATCATTTGTTTTATGTTTAACCAAGTCAACCTATGTACTTTCCCAGCAGCAAAGTAGATAATATACAAATGTCAAATGACTACATTTGACTACTAGTCTACTTCAACTCTGACTTAAGGCATACCATTTTTTTGAAAAATAAGAAGTTCCAGTTAGATCTAAAGCTAACTAGTGAATGTAATCAGAAACATTCATAAATCATCTACTTCACTCCTGCAAAAGTACATAGGTTGACGTGGTTGAATATAGATAAATTGCACTTTCTGAAAGCTGGAACTTATATCATTTGTTTTTATGTTAAATAGCTTACTGCAGTATTTCTCAATGTTTTTAATCTCATGGACTAGTAAAATGTCTGAAAAAATTCTATAAACTACTAAGTTATGTAGGCCTAATTTTTTTAAAACCTGTGTGGGAATTACCAACATTTGGGACATACTGTGCTATTTTAGACGTAATAAATCTAAAAGCAAGTTTAGAACACATATGGAAATAATTAAATTGAAAGTAAAGTATTAAAAGTGACTCATCATCAAATAAAGTTTTAATCTTTGTTAATTTAAGTCTGTTTATGGACTACCTGTTCCATCATCATGGACCACAGATTGAGAAACACTAGCCTAATGTATAAAAGAGTGAAGCAAACTCACATTGTTTTAATTAAACCAAGAATAAAAAAAAAAAAAAAAACTATTTCACTTAATAATTATTCTATTTTATAAACTAAAAGTTTTAAATTCATTTTCAAAATTTAATTCAAATCTCAAAAGTTGATTAATTAATTTATTTACTTGTTTATTTCAATACATGCAATGAAACACTCATGCTAAAAAAAAGCATACACCAGATGTAAAAAAACCTATTAAAAACAACATTATAAATACTTAAGTCTTTGACATAATTTTTAAAAAATAGATGTATCCAATAAATTAAAAAATTTCTGACTTCACTGATAGATTGAGACAATCTTCAGAAGAAATATCTGTTACAGTTAAACAAGTGTAAGTATAAAAAGAAATAGTAATAATAAATGGGTACAAGCAGATAAACTTGATATATGATTAAGCTTATGTAAGGGAATAAAAACTAGTATGTTATCAAAGTAAAAACATCATTTCCCAATGATTAAACTACTGAATTAAATACGCCATCAATTCTGCTATTATGAAACTCTTAAATTTCTTTCATTCTTTCATATATTTTTATTGTCAGGCCTACTAATTTACAGAAAAGCAAAGTGTTCACTATCTATTTATTATTAAAAATATTCAACAATAATAAAGCTTTCCATTGTATAATGTGCTATTTATGATGAATGTCATGTTTATTTATAAGATCTTCTCAACTCCCAGAACTATAAGCATTAGGGCAAAAGAAAGTCTGAAGAACATTACAAACCACACCTTATACTGTCTTAAGATCCTTTATCATATATTGTGCTCATCTAAACATGTAGATTTCATAACAGAATTCATAACAGCTAACCTATTCATAGGTAACTAATTCTAGCTAAACTAGCTAGAATTCATAACAGCTAAGCTATAGCAGAAAATGTGTTTTAAGAGAACACATCTAAAACATACAACTGACTACAGGAAAATTTTTCTAGTGAAGTCAATTGTCTGAATGAAGATAGTCCATGTTTTCCATGGCTTTTTCAAATATGAAACATTATCCTGCAAAAATGCACACAGATGAAATGTTATAATTGTTCAAAAGAGGATGCTGTTTGCTCAATAAAAAATTTGCTTTCAATGAAACAACTTATGCATTAGTTGAAAACTTTATTTGTAAAATTGAATATGGTAATTTTAAAATAATTCTATTATTCCAAATAAAATCTCAGTAAAAACATTTTCTTCTTAATCACTTATATGCAATTTATGCCTGTTATGGTAATCTATGCTATTTGTTAATCTTATACAAATTAAAAGTTAAATTTTGAAGTGAATTGGATCAAAGATCAATATTACAATTTTTTACATTTAAATTTTTGCTTACTTTTGTTTTATGAATTTCCCTCGTAAAAAATATATTAGTACTTTTGAATGTATAAACATCTCAATGCCTGATGTTTCTACTTAGAGCCAAATGATCACTGTAATGAATTGAGTTACTTTAATGCTACTATTAATAATTCTATTAGGTACTAGAGGTATCTATAGTAGCNTTAAAACAATTTCATATCACTTCATCACTAGAATAATTATAATAGATAGAATATTAATGCACCAAATTATTTTCCAGGCTATAGGATAGAAATAATTTAATTTATTACAGAATTTTGATTGGAGACAATTTAACTACAGTATAAATATTAATTTATACACTATTTGATTAATTTGTAACCCATAAACAATCTAATTAATGGTAAATAATAAGTCAAATACTCAATTTATCACCAATTCTGGGTCAAGCTGATTTGTATATCTAAAATATTCTAATTATTATCATGTTTCAAGCATTTAATATCTAAATATAACAGCATTTAAACATATTAATAGAAGCTTAAATGACTATCTTTCAGTTTTTATTTAAATTACACTAATGAATTTATCAAAAATTAGAAATATAATATGGCAAAATATATTTACATTTGGGTTAACCAAGTTCAGAATGTTTTCAATAGTTTCTTGTATTAAGAGAAATAACTAAATATCCTCACTCACATAAAGAAATGCATACAAATTCTCTTAGCCTTCACAGAATTATATAAATGCCATACAAAAATTCTTTTATTCTACAAATTTATTTTATTCTACTTCAACAAAAATGTTTAATATTTTTAATTTTTAAAAAGTTTAAAATACTATAATTCATATTTTAGTAATTATTATTGTAATTATTTAGTAATTATAATGCATGTATCATTAATATCCTTATCACAATTTAATATCTTTATACTTGTAAAAAATAAATAACTCTCCTCATTGATGATTAAATATTAGACAGAAAAGCTAAGCATATTTATTGATATCTTTGTAGATATAAATATATATATAAAGTATGCCGAGAATCTCTTGATCAATATTTTTAAAGGCTGTTATGTTTCATTTCATATTAAAATATTATATACAAATGACATAACTTCACCTATTTTCAATGTAATCATCAAACTGGTTGAGATACTTGTCCCCATTATAATATAATGGCTATGTCACTGGGTAAAAATCAGATGGCTTTCTTCTCAGACATATGTACATTTTAGACCAGGATTCTACAAAAATTCCAAATACCCAGATGCTATATCCAAAATCTAAGAGCCAAAAGGGCAACAATAAAAAAAGTATACTGTATATGTAGTAACTATAACTATACTTAAAACAATTATGAAACTAACTAGCAAAATGCATAATTACCACATGCTCATTGTTTTATATTCTACATGTAAAGATAATATATGACTTACACATTAGAAAAATTTGGAAATAGCAATTTAAATATCTGTTTGAACTGTTATGAACTGTGTCATGAAATCCACAAGTTCTAAGTCAATTGTTCATTTGTCAAGAATATGATAATCTCTGAATCATCTTTAGTAAAGTTTCATAATAATGAGTTTCCATAAATATTTAAATTTCTCATCATCAAATGAAATTGGAAATAACATACTTAATATATATTTAGTTCTATTATAAATCATTATGTTGTTAAAGGTTTAAATAAACATGAATAAAAGCAAAGTCTAATGTATTTAAATTTTGATACAGTATAATGAATCATGATCATATTTTTAAATCTATAAGTAAAAATTATTTCTGTCTTTATGTTGTTGAATTTTGTAACTTCAGTAAGGAGATTCTTGATAACTTTAAATTGTCTTTCTATACATTTAGTATATTGTCCAAAAATAAGCCAGATATCTCATACTAAAAATCAAATTTGATAATCAAAAGCTATTTTTAATGAATACTAAAATGTACATATTTATAAAACAGTAGAGTGAAGTAAAAATCAAAGCATTAACATTTAAATTTCTTCAATCTTTGAAGCATTTCCAAGATTTTGTTGCAGACCATTAGATAAAAAACACTAATATAATGCATCATAAAAGTGTATTAATGTGTATCAATGTATCAATGCCATGTACCATGTATCAATACTGATTTAAAATTGCAAGAGATTAGTAATAAATATCATAGACAGATTTTGGATTCAGTATTTACAATTAAATCTTTTAACTAGTATCTCAAAGATAAATTTCTACGATAATATTACATTTAAAATATGAACTTTTTTTATTGTAATTTTTTCCTCAAACAGAAAAAATAATGTCTTCTCTTACTTACTGACATTCCAATTTGGTACACTTTAATTTATATATCAATAAAAACTGTAACTAATTGCATGAACTGATGATAAAGCAAACTTTTTAATAGACTAATTAATTTTCAGGTTTTTAAAAATAATTTGTATCTTCTTTCTGAATAATGAAAAACAAATTGCAGTTTAATGCATACTTCTGCAATATTATATTACAGAAAAGAGCATACTTGCAATAACTGAATGTCTGACTGTCTATATAATAATAATGGAAAGATATTTCAAAGTTTATTTCTAATTCATATTATTACACAAAACATAAGGTCAGTAAAGTAAATAAAAATCATGCTGATAATACTCATGCTCCTGTTACAAGCTTTAAGATAAATTAAATAGTTAATACAT